TATAATGGAATAAATTATTAAAATTTATACCATGTGTTGTTCTGTTTATCAATATATTATTAAATCGCCGCAATAAATATTACATTAAAATACGTAACAAAAGAAGGAAAAATGCAGTCTTTTCTTAAATAAAAAGGTTTTAAAAGGTTATCTTTTGTATCTGAAAAGTTGCACAAAAGGCATCTGAAAGTTGGACTTTTTAGCAGGAAAAGGTAGAGAAAAGTGGGTCATCCATATGCCTTTTAGCATGCAAAAAGTTGATGAATGATGAACTTGAGAATACCTTTTCTCCAAGCAAAAGATCGTCTTTTTGCAGCAAAAGGTTTATGAAAGTTAAACTTTTGTGTAGAGAAAAGGTGAAGAAAAGTGGGCCATTTGTATACCTTTTCACTTATACAAAAGTCATTCAAAAGATCGTCTTTTACACCTTTCCTAAAAAAACAAAAGGTCTAGGAAAGGTGTGAGAAGGTGAATAAAAGGAGGCCTTTTGATCGCCTTTCAAGATTTATAAAAGCTGATTTTTCATGCAGTGTTATCTGTTAGTTTTATATTTACCCAGACTGTCCACAGTGCTGTGATAACATATGGTATCCCTGTCATCTTCAGTACCATCAACTTTGCTGTGCCAGTCATCATTAACCAAGTAAGCACCACTTAATGTATACATGTAAAATGTAGACATACAATGGTAAAGGACATATATGTATTTTTATAGATGTTATATCTAAAGATATGCAAGTGTATATGCTAGTATGCATATATATATAACCATTCACACTGACATACATACCGAGATCATGGTATCATATCAGTACAGTTATAAGTTATAATGTTTTTTCCAATATTTAGAGACATATCTATTAAATATTGATATTTAAACAAACTGCTGTTATATACTCCACAACAGCATATCATATCTGCTCCATTTCAGCTGCCCAGGTGTGAGAACTACCTCAGTGGAAAGGATGTCCTCAGAGTAACAATCCTGAGAACTTTCATTCTGAGGATTTCAAATCTGTTTGCTTTGATCATTTCTCTGTACAAGAAGACAACAGTAAAGAAAGTGAGTGCTGTTTGTGGACATGGATATATATAGTTGCCATTTTTGTATACCAGAAAAACATTTATTTTGTGTATTGCACATTCCATTGTGTACAGTCCGCTTTGCAGTTAACAGTACATGTGCTGTAAAATTAATTTTTCATATATTTACTCTGGTGTTAAGTTGAAATGACTTCCATATAGATGTAACACTGGTCTACATGTAATACTTATTACATATAATGCTCTGACTTTCAACTGTGTCAAGTAACACACACCTAACACACTGCTGTTTCAACTAACACATTGCTGTCTCAAATAACACACTGCTGTCTCAGCTAAAACACTATTGTCTCAACTAACTTGTACTGCTGTCTCAGCTAACACACTACTGTCTCAACTTACTACTGTCGCAACTAACACACTACTTTCTTAGCTAACATACTGCTCTCTCAGCTCACACACTGTTGTCTCAGATCACACTGCTCTCTCAACTTATACACTGTTGTCTCAACTAACACAATATTGTCTCAGCTAACATTCTAACTGCTGTCTCAACTAAGACACTGCTGTCTCAACTAACACACTGTTGTCTCAGCTAACACACTGCTTCATTCCAGGGTGGACCAGAGTACTGTGTGGGGACTCTGATAGGCCAGGAGCTATATAAACTGGTCATAGTGGATACATTGCTACAGGTGAGACATTGTTGTTATATTTACAATGTAGTAAATGAATAAATTTGACAAAAAAAGAGTGGAGGGATATTTGTTCAGTTTTATTAAACCACTAGGAAATGCATATTTCTGTCTACAAACCAAACAAAATAGGATCCTCTTTAGGAGATTAGCAACAAACTTAGTGCTTGGATGTCATCAGAGTGAACTAGGTCATGTTACTTGAAACTTGAGGATTTAAATTATTTGTATCGGATTCATGATTTAACCCAGCAATGAGGTCATTGTGTTTCATTTTCTACTACCCAGTCCAGTTTACAGTTCCTCTACTCAAGATGTTCATATCTGTGGACAAGGGAGAAGAAGGAATTCCTGATGTCCTCTGCCATATTAGTCATAGTTTATAGACAAGCTTTGATATGGGTAAGTTAGTGTATGTCTCCTTCATTTGGGTAAGCTAGATAATACTTTCAAAGTATTCTGCTGAAGTATTGCAGATTTCCTTAAGACTTGCATTATACTTGAAAAATAGCAAATAACTTTTATGATAGCTTGTGTTAACTTGGATAAAGAAGACCCCCAACTGTCACGTCTACCTGACACAGACAGTTGTTAGCAGACAGAATTTGATGTTGGTGGATTACATTGTCTTAAAAAAAAAAAACAAGATATGACAGTGTTGGGTTGATGTGGTATAAAAAATGAGTTAATGCATGCTGCTTTTAAAAAAGTTCAACACATTTTTTTAATTAGTTTCTGTATTTGATTATTTTTTCTCCAGACTGGCACCCTGGCCTGTCCTGTACTCCCCCTGGTGGGCAGTATGTCAGTCTTGCTGTTCTTTGCAGTGAACTACAGCACAGTGGTGACCAGCTGTAAACCTCCTGAAAACAGATGGAACCAGTCTAGACACAGTACTCTGTTTATAGGTCTACTTACTGTCACCTTACTGATACTACTGGTACCTGTGGCTGTTATCATTGGCAGGTTAGTNAGTCAAGGGTGCAGCTGAATTTTCCAATAAGGATGGATTGTCACGTCTCATATATGAGATAAATTCTGTTTGAAATTTCTGCAGTCCTTCTGTCATTTTATAAACGTTTTCACATAGTCCTTCAAATTTTGAGTTCAAGTGTCTAATTTCGTTTTCCATATGTGTAATCCGTGTTTCATCACAACTACTGTCAATTTCATTTGAGCATAGAGGCTCCATGTTGTTTAAAATCGTAAAATTATCATTCAACGTAATAAAATGTGACCATCCTCGTCGCCATTGTTGTGAGTTCTGCTTTATTACAATCAAGATTCCCGCGTCAAGTCACATGGTACCAGGTGTCATGCGACACCTGGCGTGATGCATAAACAATACATAGACTAATACACTACAAAACCTCCAGCAACAAGAAGTCTTTTGGAAGGGTGGTTTTTCATCCATTCTGGGGCATGCTTGGTAAGATACAGACAAAGAAAAATAAAAAGTGATTTTTTGTTGGTAGACACACTGAGGAATTTCTTCCAAGGAGGAACAGGCCGCCCGCCAATTACTTGGTAGGTCTTAAACCCTAACTGTGATTTAGACCGTCGGTCTCTCTCAGCAGATTTAACAGATTCTGGGCAATCATATCTATCGAATACTTCAACAACAGTGTTGGCTCTTGAAAAGACTGCCTGAAGGTTTTTAAGATATGCGGAAGCAAAGTCATTAAAAGTTTGAAATTTGCTACCAGTCATCATCTGGATTACTGCCATGGAATCCCTTATGTACACAACCTCTGTCGGGTTTGTAACAGGGCAATCAGGTACATGGCTACAGAAACTCTCCAAATGGTGTTGTAATTCCGCTTTGTTTGTCTTCCGCATTGTGCCATCTGTATTAAACATTGATGCTGGCACTGGACCCACGGGATAGCAAAGGACTGTTTCCATAGAAACATCCTCTCGACTCTTTGACAAAGATAAGGCTCTGCGGAAAACAATCTCTGGGTTTAGTGCACCTGATATAACTGTTGGTCCCAACTTAATCTTACTTTTTCTTGCCATGTCTGCAAACGACTTTAATCGGGACTTGCTGATTGGACTGTAAAAGCTGTGTGCTCCATTGGGTTCGAGGGTATTGTGAACAAAGGAAGCCAGCTTCTCTTCACCAGTCTCCAAGATGCCAAGAAGAGAGGTTTGAACATGCAAAGAGGCATGGAGACCAGTGGAAATATTTATGAGCACATTTGGGTGCTCTTCAGCTTCAAATGGATTCGTCATGTTGTTCAATAAATGCCAAATAAGTGCTTGAACATGTTCCTCATCTGTTTTCATCCCAGAGGTAAGCTCCTCTCTATGACTGCTTTCCATATCTTTGACAATCCCACTCCTTTCCCGCATCAACTTCGAGTATTCACTCATGATGTGACGTGTAATACTCCACCTAATTAGGGCAGGTTTCTTTCTTGTAAGGCCCACAATGCCACTGGCTCCTTTTGCATCCTTTATGACCGTCTTCTCTGTTCCCATGTCACTCCAAATGCCATTAAATCTTCCAGGTACTTGCCGTACTACAAATTCTCCCGCTCCAAATGCACTCTTAACCTCTTGAGGAAGATTTAACATATCTAGCAGGTAGACTGGGGTCCATCGAGCATAGTTTGTCCTATTTGTCGCAAACAAATACGGCAACATTGCCCTAACTGAGACAAGGTGCATCTCCCAGTCACCAGAGCGCTCTGCTCTAACAAAGGTTAAAAGAATATGAAGAGCTTGAAGGAGGTTGTCCCAAAACTGAAATGTGGGAGATTCCCTTCGCCCCCAGGCCTGGAATTTTGAGAAAGTTGGCAACAGGAGCTCAGACAAACTTTCAGACAAGTCATCCATAAAACCTACAACACCAGACTTGTACAACTCCTGAGCATTTAACACCTCATCCCACACCAACTGTGAAACCTGGCAATTTCGTCTTTGGCACCAAACTATGAAAGCTGACAATTTGAGAGCCGTCAGAGCTTCAAATACCAAAGTTAGCCCTCTTACTGCCCTGTTAAATTGTTTTCCACACAACATCTGCTCAGCAGTGGATGCTGCATACACATCAGAATCAACAATGAGATCCAACAAACCTGCATCAGCCCAAATTTTTCCAATAGACGCAATGAAGCATGAAAGTGTATGGAAACCACCCATCCTAATGACATGACAACCAAACTCATCAGGCAAGGACCATTTCACTTGCTGGGCAATGGCATATAGCTGTTGGTCCATCGTTTGTACTGCAAACTGCTGTCCGAGTGAAGTACTCATATCCCGACACTTCAGCATTGTGGTGTAAACCGTGGACATGTCTGTAGGCTTAGCATCGAGAACTGGCGCACATGCAACAGCAGTATAGGTCGTTTTCTTCACAGCCAGCCTATGATTGAATCCTGTCCAGAATGGAATGACTTGCTGGTGTGAAGGCTCAACTTCTACAGGTAGGATACTTCGGTGAAGCATTCTCAAAAGGCACCATGCCATATCTTTGACTTGCATTACATTCTCTTTGTAATAATTCAGCTGTTCTAAAACCTTCTCTCTTCTCGGTGGTTCAGGACGTGTCTTTGGTTTCTGAAATGGTGTGCATTCCATCAGTGATTCGGATTTTTCAGAGAGAACAAGTGCCTTAGACTTCCCAACTTTTAATGGGATTCTTCTACTCACAGGGAGATGTAGATCTTGCTCTTGAAAAACTACTCTGGCCATTGCATGGAAGGTATTTTTTCCATCCACGGTCTCTACGTTAATATCAATGTTGTCGTCACCCTCATGGATGAAACGACCACCATCACAGCGTGACACAATGCCATGTGGAATGTAGACACCATCTTGCTGCCTCTCAACCTCTAACTCAGCAATGCATGTCATTAATCTTCTAAGATCATCATAGGAGATGCAAAAACCGTGGCTGTGCAAGGTGTCTATCAAACTCCGAGAACCAAACTCATTGTGCAGTTGTGCTGCAAGTCCTACTTGTAGAGGGGGGAGAACTTTGCAACAGCTGAACATTATGCACTCAGCAATAGCCAGACATCTTCTGCGTACAGCATCAGATGATGGGAAATCATTGCTCATTGCATTATATGCATCTAAGTTGGTTAACCAAAGAACAAACTTTTGAAGCAAACCTGGGACAAATTGGCTTGATTTCTGTAGGCTAATATCACTTGGTGACGGAAAGCATTCAGAAGGGCCAGTTTTTTCTATCTCTGATCTCAAGATAGAAACTGCTTTGTAAACAATTGACTCATCAGAAGACAAGTGATCAGCATCTTCTGTTGCTGTATCTTCTGGACCTAGTGAAATTGATGAGATCAGGTCTTGTTTGATTCTTTGGGCAGCTTTGATAGCGTCGCCTAAAGAAATTTTACTGCAAAACACAACAGTGGACTTCCCTTGTCCATATTGTACAAGAAATGACACAGCATCACCATAATGCTTTTTTAATCTCATTTTGAGCTTTTCACCACGATAATTTGAAGCCACTGCACTAGAAGGAAGCAGAGACCTATACCTGTCAAGAAGGCTAGACAGCATAAAAGCTTTATTATTTGCCATCAGATCAGTATCTATTTCTGCTATCAGTTCATAAAATGCAACATCATATTCATTATCAGATTTCATTGAGGGACGATAAGTCAGATTGGTTTTACTTATATAAGAGGAAAGACAGGATGCATGATATACAGCATCCTTTGCAATCAAATCTTCACCTGCTATCTTAAACGTCATAAAGTCGTCACCTCGTTGAACAGCAGCATCTTTGAGTTTTTGTTCTCTTTCAAAAGTTTCTATTTTGTGTAATTTTTGTTGACCCTTATGTGTTTTCTTAGAACAAATCACACAACATGACCAGTCAGTCCCATGTTTTCTTTGGGGTTGCCCTGATGAAGACATGCCATCTTGGAAGGTGGGGGATTCTTCAGATACATTTCTGGACTTGTGTTTTAAGTTTGACTTACTTGTATACACTTGAAAGCAATGTCTGTGATACTTAACAGTGGGAACATCACTCAAACTAGTAAATTCATCCTTCAGACGGTAATAAACCTCATCTTTTCTAACAGTTGCAGCATTTATTATTGATTCATGACCTGAGGAAACAGCTGTAGATAGCTTTGATTCTGTGTTTTCTTGACACACAACACATTTTGAAAAGTCTGTCAAAACAAGTCTTCTTTTCTTCAACTTTATTGGACTTCCATCAGATTCTAAAACAATTTTATGGATTTTAGGGCATACAAAATGAACAAGGGACAATTATGCCACAGGAAAAAAAAACAAATTGCTTATGATATTTAATTTTTTTTTTTTTTTGTTTTGAATATACATTCAACACAATTTATTTATAAGAGTATCACAAGTATGCACACAAATTTGTAAATCTTTTACCTGCCATAGTGTGTGGAGTAAAAGGTCGATAGGTGCAGAGAAGTGAGAGGAGAAAGGTGCAAGCCAGTGACCAGGTAGATAGAATGCTGATATTCTGTTATGTAGTGCAAGTCATAGAGGAGTATGGGCATAATGGAGAAACCATATCAACATTCCAAATGTATAAGAGACAATCCTAGAAGCTGTTGTCATCACTTGATATACTGTAAAGAATAGAACAAATGTACGTGGACTTATATGCATTGTAATAGAAATGATAAACAATATGTATAGGAGGGTTCTAACACTTTCTTTGTTTGTCCATAGCTAATTGAGACTTATTATTGTTTTAGTTAATCACATCAAATATTTATGTTCTAGTTCTTATGATTTGACAATTTAAAATTAATACAAAAGGACTTGATTGTGTAAATTTACCTAGATGATTTCATACTGATTTCACATCCTGCTGACAACAACTTGTTATTATGGGATGTGACCTACATAAGAGGCTTATGGGAAATGACACAATTACAAAGGTAAACAAAACATGTGTGATAGAGGGGTCATGTTTGTAACCATTTTCTGCTATATTTCAAACCTAATATTTATTTCCCCTTAAATTAGATTATAAAAATTACTTCATTTAATGAGAAAGGACATGAATTTCTAATATAATAATGACATTTACGTATAAAGCCCACATGAGTGCAATATAAAATGCAATAATGATAATTTAATGTTGGCGGCCATATTGGATTTTGCAGTCATTTTAAATTAACTAGTAGGTTTTTTCTTTTTAATTTGGAGACCTACAACATTCTTTAAGCCAGTGTAAGAAGAGTGATATAAATTGTCACATGCTGTTTTCTAGCATGTAAGCTGTGTGAATTTGACTATTTATGTCGCCAGCATAGAATGCATACATATAAGGTAATGTCATATAATTTGCATTTATCATATTAAGACATCAATAAATCAATAAATCTCAAAAATATATCAAGGTAAATTAAAATTTCTACTGTACATTTAATTTTTTTTTTTTTCATTTTTGTAAATGGAATATTTTATTCATGTATATATAAACCTCGCTTTTAGATATGTTAGTTAAGTGAATTTTAATTAGAAAATGGACGCCATTTTGAAAATTGTGGCCATCTTGAAGAGGTTGTGTGAGGCATCATGAAGTATTTAACATCTAGCACAAATTTGTGTGTGAGCTTGCTAATAAAAATGATTTATTTAATAATTAAAGTGAACCAAAGCCCATGTCATGGAAATTTGCATTTCAGGGCGGCCATGTTGAATATTTAAAATTGACTGCTTTAACATCACCCAAATTTAACCAAATACCATATAAAAATGAAAATATGTCTACTTTGTATAATCCACCCCAAAATAACTATGTGAACATTACAATTTTGATTTTATATGTAAAGATTTGGAATAAAATGAGAAAATTTGACCAATTTTTCACAAACAATGGCGGCCATCTTGAAAACGGCAGCCATCTTGAAATTTTGGTATGGTGTTTTTTTTAGCCCATAACCTTTCTCATCACAAAACATGTAAAGGTCAAATGATACACAATGTTTTAGGTATGTTTATCAATGATTTGTATTTTTAGAAAAAATGCAAAAAAACAGGCGGCCATCTTGGAAATTGTCCGTTTCCATGGTTAGGCAGGCAATTGCCATTTCCACATCATGGCTAACTTTGACCAGCAGCCTCTGAGCTTTCAAATGATATATAATTCAGGTCTGTGTATAAAGGGGACACTAAATCTGAAAATTTTGGCCTTCTGCCGCTCACCTATAGTGCTTGGATGTCATCAAAGTGAGCTAGGTCATGCTACTTGAAACTTGAGGATTTAAATTATTTGTATCAGATTCATGATTTCACCCAGCAATGAGGTCATTGTGTTCTATTTTCTACCACCCAGTCCAGTTTACAGTTCCTCTACTCAAGATGTACATATCTGTGGACAAGGGAGAAGAAGGAATTTCTGATGTCCTCTGCCATATTAGTCTTAGTTTACAGACAGGCTTTGATTTGGGTAAGTCAGTGGATGTCTCCTTCATTTGGGTAAGCTGGATAATACTTTCAAAGTATTCTGCTGAAGTATATTTGCAGACTTCCTTAAGACTTGCATTATACTTGAAAAATAGCAAATAACTTTTATGATAGCTTGTGTTAACCTGGATAAAGAAGACCCCCAACTGTCACGTCTCCCTGATACAGAAAGTTGTTAGCAGACAGAATTTGATGTTGGTGGATTCCATTGTCTTAAAAAAAAACAAGATATGACAGTGTTGGGTTGATGTGGTGTAAAAAATGAGTTAATGCGTGCTGCTTTTAAAAAAGTTCAACACATTTTTTTAATTAGTTTCTGTATTTGATTATTTTTTTTCTCCAGACTGGCACCCTGGCCTGTCCTGTACTCCCCCTGGTGGGCAGTATGTCAGTCTTGCTGTTCTTTGCAGTGAACTACAGCACAGTGGTGACCAGCTGTAAACCTCCTGAAAACAGATGGAACCAGTCTAGACACAGTACTCTGTTCATAGGTCTACTTACTGTCACCTTACTGATACTACTGGTACCTGTGGCTGTTATCATTGGCAGGTTAGTATATATATATATATAGAAACCCCATATGGTAAGGATATAGTTGTCTTTGGGGAAGATTAACTCTATGAATAGCAAGCAAGTCCTTGTGTTTGAAGGTATTAGAATGTAGTTTTGTGATTTTTTGGATAGGTTTATAATTGCTACATGTGTGTATTTGTTATTCCAGCAAAGACGTTGTGAACATTGGTCAGACTAATGTGGCAGGGAGATCATGTGGACCATTTGGCCTCCACAGCCCCATAGGGACCTTAACCAGCCTTCAGTCCAGGCTCCCAGAGTGGCTGGCAGACATGTTCCACTGGCTGTCATCAGCTACAGTCCTGTTGCCAGCAGGGTTTGTTCTTCTGTAAGTAACCATGTCATCAGCTACAGTCCTACTGCCAGCAGGGTTTGTTCTTCTGTAAGTAACCATGTCATCAGCTACAGTCCTACTGCCAGCAGGGTTTGTTCTTCTGTAAGTAACCATGTCATCAGCTACAGTCCTACTGCCAGCAGGGTTTGTTCTTCTGTAAGTAACCATGTCATCAGCTACAGTCCTACTGCCAGCAGGGTTTGTTCNGTGTTGGAAGAAATTGGGACACAAAATGAAAACAAAGATCAGAATATATCTAAAGAGATAGCACTTAAAAATACAGAAGAACTGAGAATAGATATCATAAATTCTAATTTGAATGAAAATCAAAAAGAACAACTCAGAATATTGATTGGTCGAAATCGTGACGTTTTTGCCAAAGACATGTCAGAGTTAGGCACGGCCAGCAGATATGAACATTATATCCAGACAGAAAATGATATTCCCATTAAACAAACGTTTTACCGAACATCTCCAAAATTAAAAGAAGAGATTGTAAGACAAGTTGACGAAATGTTGAAACATGGGATTATAGAAGAAAATATGAGTGCATATAGTTCTCCTGTAGTTTTAGTGAAAAAGAAAACGAACGAATACAGATTTGCAATCGATTATAGAAAGCTGAACAAAGTTACAGTGCCTATGCATTGGCCATTACCTCGTTTAGAGGACGTTTTTGATGCAATTGGAAGTGCAAAACCTGAATATTTCAGTTCGTTAGATATGGCAGGAGCATATTGACAATTAAAGTTAGATCCCAAAACAAAACACATAACTGCATTTTTTACACACCATGGACATTTTCAATTTCTTAAATTACCATTTGGACTCAGGAATGCAGGTGTTAGTCTACAAGCTCTTATGAATGACCTGTTCAAAGATATGAATTGGAAAAATGTACTGATATATATAGATGATATATTGGTAATGAGCAAAACGTTTGAAGATCATTTGAATCATTTGGATTTAGTGTTCAAAAAGTTACGTGAGGCCAACCTAAAACTGAAACCAAGTAAATGTAAATTTGCAACGCAAGAAGTTGAATACTTAGGGCATGTGATTAGAAAAGATGGTACCAAACCAGACGATAAAAAGTTAGAGGCAGTGAAATCTTTTCCTGTTCCAAAAAGTACAAAAGATGTGAGAAGTTATCTAGGATTGTGTAATTTTTATAGGAGATTTATTAAAGACTTCAGTAAAATAACTGAACCTTTGAACAAATTATTGAGAACAAATGTTCAATTTGAATGGAATCAAGAATGTCAGTCAGCATTTCAACAATTGAAAGACTTACTTGTGTCACCACCCATCTTAGTATATCCGGATATGACAAAAGAATTCATATTAACCACAGATGCATCTATTAAAGCAATCGGTTTTATTTTAGGTCAAAAGGATGAAAATAACCGAGAAAGAGTTATTGCCTACGGTGGCAGATCTTTAAACAATGCAGAAAAGAATTACTCAATACATGAATTAGAATGTTTAGCAGTAGTAGAAGGAATAAAGCAGTTTGAATCGTATTTGGCTAATAATCATTTCAAAGTTTTCACAGATAACAAAGCCATTACGTGGTTACAAACGTTGAAACATTCCACAGGTGGATTGATAAGATGGGCATTGAAATTACAGGGCCTCGATTTTGAAATTGAACACAGAGCTGGAAAAACAAACCCAGCTGATGCTCTTTCAAGACGCAAATATGATGAAGACAATTGTTTACAAAACAAAGATTGTGTACATGTCGTGGATGATATAAGCAAACAGAAGTGTCAAAACAGTGGTTTGGTGCAAGCTAGGGTGTATATCGTAATAAAAAAAAAGGGAATTCGAGGACGAATTTATTTGAAGAGAGGGTGTATATCGTAATGAAAATGATTAAAAGTACAGATACAAAGTTGTGATCGTAATGAATACATTGTACCTTTCATAATTGATACAATATACATTTGTTAAGAGGTTAAACAGTGTAAGTGAGAGAGTTAAAGAGTGCACGTGTTGTTCAATAATAAAAAAAGAATAAGGGAGTATAGTTATCATTCCTTCAGGATGATACAATGAAAAATCTGTATTAATAGAAATGGCGACCTAAGGTCAAGTAACATACCATTGCCTAATAAGAGAATGATTATATTTTGGTAATGACGTAATGATGGAAAGTTATGGAAAAAGGGATAATCATAGACATTGTGTAAGAGCTGAGGAATTATTACATTACCAAATAAGGTAATGTAGGAGAAAGACTTTGTGATACATCATGACATTGGAATGGTGATCTATAGGATAAAAGAGAATGCATTGTAACTGGAAAATAAGAATATACGAATAAATCTTTTAGGCCCCCAAAAGATGTATGTTCTTCATTTATAGTACTGGCGAAATAAAAGGTACTATAAAACCGAAGAGCAAGCTCTTCAGGAAACAAAAGAAGTCAACATCTACACATGTACCCCGGTAACTGAAAAAGGCTTATTATATCAAGGCGCAGTCGAAAATAGACTCCTGCTGTAACTACTACATAAATTTGCCAAATAACTGGCGACTTAAATCAAAAGTAAGAAAAGTCATAATTGTCACAGTCCGTGATTATCACATACCGACTTGACATGTCCCATGATGTCCCTGCCAGCCTTCAGCACAGCCAGATGTACAGACTCCATACACGGGATGACACTCTTCATTTGTATTTCTACAGTTACAACGGTTTCTGCATTCAGGACCAAGGTTTTTATTTGTACATTCTGAAAATAACAAAGCACACAGACCAATCATTTGTAAAGAACGCTTTACTCTATCAGTTTTAATTTGACTACAAAAATATACATTGCATGTCCAGCGTAACGGAGGCAAATAAAGTTTGGCGTCGAACAACCTAACGCCAATGCAGCCATACATTTTGTATATAAACAATTACTTTTGTGAGCGTCAAGAATAATTAATCTTATTATACAACAGCACAACAATATTTATAATTGATAAAATGGGTCACTTGTGTAATGATGATAAATACAAAAATCGCCAACAATTTACGGAAATCACATCGATGAGCCAGTTATGTAATCAAAGCTCTATATTCTGCTTAAAAAGAGTAGAAACCTCGTGCCAAGTTGAAACACGATAGTCTTTTTAGAAATATTTCACTTCTATATCCATTTGTATTTGTTCAACATTAAGTAAAAGTATATAATTCGTGTAACAATTACTTTCGTATCTGTACCCTTTAATAGTAACTTCACAGAGTATTAAAGGGGCTTCGTGCTCCAGCTGAACAATCACGACTTGACCAATATGTGGAACTTGACATGGCAATTCTATACTTCCACCACGAGGCACTTGGGGAGCATATGTCACACACACGTCTAACCTGCTGGTATCTGTGTTGTTACGTGTCTTTACTGATAAGTTATGTAAGTGCTTGCCGGCTGGAATTTTACATAGACATAGGTAAAACGTGTGGGGGTATCTGTCCACTAAGACCCAGAAGCGATACATGAACGGTAATTATTGTACATTAAACTGTGACTTTGATAAACGCAATAATGTATATGTCAAAGGCCCGGATCAAATCTAGTCCTATGCATAAAAAGCCCAGACCCCATGTTTATTACGCCCCGGCTGGGACCATTCTTTAGGTCGTCTTTGCATTGATAACAGCATAACGGGCAAGTTAAATGACCAAGTTAATGTCAAGCTGCCGGTTTGTTTGTATGACATGTGCAGGGGATGTCTTAGATCAAGGAACGGATTATGATACTTACAGGTGTGGCAAATGAGATATACTTGTATTTCATTACCTGTAATTTGTAAAATACATCAGAGGATGATACTTTTAAAGATGTTTAATGTTTAAAGAAAAGACGTGATTTAGAAACATTTACTAAAGAAAAGTTAAATTAAAGGTGGGCTTCATTTGTGCCTTGATCTAAGACAACCCCTGCACATGCCATACAAACAAACTGGCAGCTTGGCTAATTAACTTGGTCAATTAACTTGGTCATTTAACTTGCCCATTATGCTGTAAACAATGCAAAAACACCATAAAGAATGGGCCCAGCCAGAGCGTAATAAACATGGGGTCTGGGCTTTTTATGCATGGGACTAGATTTGGTCCAGGCCTTTGACATATACACGGATTAAAATCTGGTCGAAGAAAAACTACAAGTCATGTGCAACAGTTGTAGCTATTTTAATCGTCTTTCGAAAAGAGAAATAGGAGGGCTAGACATGATGAAAATGAAGGAGGAAGAAGCGGTTAGTGTCCCTCTCTTTCGGGTCCCCTTTCCCTGTCCCTTCCAAAATAATAATGCTTATAATTATAAAATAAAAAGTAAATTGAAGAAAATGGGACAGATCAAAACACATTATCTTACCCTATGTCCCATATATTATAATAAAATCACTGCCCTTGCAGAAAAGATATATCCAATGTTTTTGTATTTTTTGCTTATCAAAGAACATTTAGTCCTGAGATATGCACGTTCTGCATAAATAAAAGCGACCCACATGCCAAATATCAACCAACCTATATAGTCAGGTCTTTAATGTATTTATGCAATATGGATAAAACCATTGTCCTTTTCTTATCCTTTCGCTTGGGTTAATGAGGAGATAATTGGTAGTTTCTGTGCTGTCCTCAGCTAAGTCGATGTGCCAAGACTTCCCCAACAGCAATACATCAAGAAAAATAACCCTACTAAGATACCCTGTAAATAACGCTTACCAAACATTTAATGAAAATGACTCATCAATACTTAAAACAGGCCAATTAAATGACTATTCAGTTACATATCAGAGCCCGTTAAACTGCAAAACACCCAGTCAACACAGAACGTCAAGCAACAGATGAAAACTGATTACGATAATACTTCTTATATTTTATCTATGAATCCTACTTGAAGATTTAATTTAGTTTTGAAATTCTGAAATAATATTAACATATAATATATGATAAATGATATAAAAACAAGCTGTATTGGAGTTTTGAGGGAAATTAATTTAATGTTTTGACAGCATCCACTACGTTCTTAGCGTGTTATAAATTCTGAAAATGTTTTTTCTTACATATAATTTTAAGTTGGAAATTGTTCTACCTCAGTGTTCTACCTCAGTGATATAAACACACACACATACACACACACACATTAATGACAGAGAGTTACCCTGTAGAAGTAGTATCGAAACTAAAAACAAATCATTCCAAATTATGCGAAAGTGAAACATTAATCCATTATTGTTATTATTGTCATTATTTCCTTATAACGATAAATCCCTTTTGGTAAGATTCTCTTACTAACGAGGAATTACATACAGCATATAGTTTCAAGTAGTATAACTAAGAGAATTACCAAAAGTCATTGTTTAATTTTACCCGAAAGTGATGTTCGAACAAATTTTTCTGCTAGCATTCTATGCTGTACCAGTGGGGCGGAAAAGTAGGTCACGAAAGTAGGTTAAATTGACAACCAAAAATTTAAAGAAAGGAGCACTCTAAAGCTCTTTTATGGCTGATCGAGTGATTTATTCAGTTTAGCCCTTGGCATGTCGAATTTATTAGAGTCGTATAAGAAACTAGTAGAAGTGGTTTACATGTGTTACTGGGAATCCACGCTCCACCGCTCCACTGCTCGGTTCGTATGTACAGGTACCTTTAAGCCCAATACTCCGACTATAACCCTAGCCTGTACTAATCATATTGTATTGTACCCCGGACCTTCATTCCACGCCGGCAATAAAGGTCTTCCCTTGGTTAAAAGATATAAATTGTATCGAAAAGACAAAGAGCTATTATTTGTACCGACGACTTACGAAAATTTGACACATTTAATGTGGTTAGTGGCATTAATAATTCTTAATTTAAATTTCTTTTAGCAAAATCTATAAACGATATCAAAGGACACCCGGTATATAATGTATATAGGAACAGGGAAGGTCGAACCCGCCAAACTGTACCTGCTGTTTTTGAAATGGAAGAGCACTGTACAACACGTGGGATAATTGGCCAAACGTAACATGGCGACCCGCTCTCAGCTGCACGAACATTTTGTTCATCGTCTGAATGGTTGGTACAATCGGCTACTTTATAGTCTTCGCAGCAGGTCGACAGGCAGGGAAAGATGTTTATATAAGATATAAGCCCCGTCTCTCTGAGATAAACAATAAAATAGCAGTAATTTTGTGGCGAGTCTCTTACCCATAGATATTTAATCATGTGCCCATATTGCAGTGTATTCAAGAAAGCATGTACATCTACATGTACATGTACATGCACATGAAGCATATCGGGTAAATATGACAACATATAGGGGAGACGGGACTAGTTGGACCCCGGGGTAAGTTGGCCTCCCCATCAATTTATGAAAAAGGGGTAAAAAATTGATCACATCATTTAGTAAAGTGACCGTATCCAAGAGTGCTAAGAAAGCGTCGTAAAGAAGTTTTTTTTTTAGGTAGTAAGTCCAAATGAAAGAATTTAGCATCTTAAAGTAACTTTATTAAAGAGACTTTAAAATCTATTTTCACAAGCTTTTGATCGAACAAAGTACTAGTATATGTATAGGACATCAAACAGAAGCCCATTGTTTCATCACCGTTGTTCATTCTAGCACCATAAATGGCTGCAACCCTTTCAAATTAAAAATGTGCACCCGGAGCTAGTTGACCCCTTGACTCGGGGCAAGTTGGACCCTCACATTGACCACTATCCTTTGCGCGCAACAGCGCTACAGACCATTGTTGAAACAAACTCGGTTTGTTAAATAATTACCAGATTAAAACTGAATTTGTTAGTTTCCTTTAAAACTATTCTTGGGCCCCGTGGCGGGGCAAGTTGGCTTCCCTGACGTCAAGTGCGTTTTTTTTTTTTTTTTTTGTCAAACTGTGAGCCATCTAGCATTACAATTTTAAAATAATGGCGTTGCTTTCATAGCTTAGTTCATGGGGCTCACTTTGAAAAGTGTCTTACTGGGTGAACTAGCCCCGGTCTCCCCTACTTGTTTGTATCTACCCGGTACATGTACTAAACCATCATCAGCACAGGTACATAAAGCACTATCCGTGTATCCTTAAGCATTTGTATTTACAGCACACATGCATACACACATACACTAATGGGAATGTTAAAACCAGTATAGTGGTCTCTAATGATAAAAAGAAACATATTCCAAGACGTATACTTACAGTCACCGCCGTTATCTCTGTTAAATAGCGTTACACTGTAAACCACGTACTGCCGGCCCAGGTCTACCCGCCACCAGGGGTATGATGTTGAATCTGTGTGAGAGCACGACCCTACATCGAAATTTGCGTTAACATTCCCGTCTATAGCATGACTTGGTACTCCACCTGCAACAACCGTTCCGTTGATTTGCTCTGCTGTTCTTCCAATGGCCACATTATCTAAAACATGTTATTTGGTCTCAATTTCTTCGCTATCAATGAGTTAATACATGTTGATAAATCGATGATATTGATTTTCTTTGCGTCGTCCTCGTCATATTCATGAACTATATAATAAACGTATAAAAAACATAGTGGCATGATACTTTTAACTGTGTAACTGTGTACATGCATACGATTATTATTAGTGCAAACTTGATTAAAAGTTGATTAAAAACAAAATATGTATTGCCGTTTGTTAACCTCAGAAAACGGTTTAAAACTAAGATTTACTGGATTACATGTGTGTATACAAATCGAACAGTCTCTTTTCCTTTTCCAACCTAAAATCAAGTTAATTTCTTTTCCACAAAAGTTGACTTACAGGGATACGTGTAGCCCTTAACGATGATTTCACACAACCGAAATATTTGTGTTCCAGATTTTCGTAACGTGACGTAGCGCGCCAGGACTGGTGGATCTATCTCGTACTCTAACACTGCAGTTGAACACTGTGTATTAGGAACAGATACATCTCTACATCCAGTATCCGATGCCGTTTTGTTGTTAATGCAGAGCTGGACACCTTGAAACTGGCCTGGTAAAACGATATTAAAAGAATTTAATATATTTTCTATATACCATCTAGACAGACGCAGCCCTTACTAGTAAATAAGTAAGTGAAATGCGACACAAAAGTATTGTTAAAGCAAATTACATATCCATGATGTCAAACTTACATACGTCAGCAAATGTTGTGGGCTTTATCAATACAACTCTACGAACAACATATAATCCCTCCAGGTCCACACTCCAGGTGGGCTTGTCCTGTGAATTTGTTTTTGCACATTTCAGGTCATCAGTGATGTTGTCTCCGTCCACTGCAAGATCTGCTGGATAACTCACGCTTCCATTCATATAAGTACTTGACTGTGTGGCTTGCTTTCCATAGGCTAAGTTGATATTTTCTAGAATGAAAAATGACAACAATCTTCAGTGATATTGTAAGGTAATATTGACTTAATACACTTATATAAACAAACTTTCTATATTTTTTTCCAGAAATAACTGACTTCACTGTAGGTACTGGATTGTGTGGCTGGCTTTCCGTGGGCAATATTGACATTTTCTGGCAGAAAATGGAGACTGTGCTCAGGGTTGACCTTCATACACAAAATAAAGAAACTTTGTTGAAATCATTTTTCACACAAAAATTTACTGTCATTATACGAGATGCTCTACCACAACCCAGTGTCGCATCAAGGGATGCGTTTTATGTCGTGATCTTTAAAATATAACTACTACCTAATAGCCCAATACAAAAGTTCTCTTAAACCCCATGCACTGACCATCATGACATCCTATTCCCCACGGGTTGTCCACACAGTGTTCAGGACATGTTCTTAGAGTCCGTTGACACCTTTGTCCCCGTTTACAGAAACATCCAGTCACAGTGTCACACTGCCAGCCAAAGTAACCGTCACCTTCCATACAGCACTGACATAGGTACACTGGTGATAGAAAGAAAACAAACACTGTTACACTTTTAAGTAAAAATGCCATAACAAGCAGGTTTTATTGATATCGATGAAGATACAGTGAATATTGAAAGAAAACAGTAATAAACAGCAAGAGTTTTACAACAAACCAGGTCACCTCCATCTTTTAACGTTAAGTGACATGCATTCATCTTCGTGCTGAAAGTGAAAAAAGGTACGTCCAACGCCAAATGTGCAAACGCTAGCAGTTGCACCAACCCATCAACTACTTACGGAAAGTATAAACTGCTGCATTATTAAAGTGGCGAGTTATACATATAATTGGCGAAAACTAATCTATAAAGAACTACATGTAAAACTGATACTACATGCTTATGTCTTGCATTAAATTATAACTCCCGGGGCTAAAAACTGCATTATAGTATTTTTATTCATTGATCCATGTTTCGTTTTGCATTCAGGTTCTATTCAGCCATTTCTGCTTTACGTTATTTTTTTTTCCTACTGTCTTTTTGATACAATTGTTACCCCTCCTCCGACCACACACCTGATTTGAAAAAGAAACCTGATCATGTTTATATAATTAGCGTTTACTTCCTCCTCGTGTCCAGGCCTGTAATATCACACTGTGGGATCCCTAGCTGTTAAAATCCATTGAAATACTCACGTCTAAAAGAGGTCTGGGTTTTGCAACTAAAATATAATCCCGGTCTGTCAAGCAACGCCCTGGTTTTCAAATCATATTTTTAAACGTACATTTAGTTTACAGACAATTTCAACTGCCGGATTGTAAGATACTGAATGTAAAGTGAAGTGGCCTGTTTGCCCCATCCATTTTTAAAAGATGTTTGGTTTTGAAGAAACTTCATATACTTGTATGTTAATGTTAATTGACAGTGCGACAGGTACATTTTCCTCATCTAAACCACCAAGGCAGAACCCGTAGATTGGTTAAGGAAAAGGAAGCCCGGGTCCGCCTATCTATAGTAGTCAGCAGTCATTTCATGAAGGTCAACATATTCAGGATAAAGTGCACTGTAAATACACACAAGCCCTACATGTACGGAGAAAACTCCTTTGTTCCATTTTACACCTCACGGATACTATGCCTGTAAGGTCCGACATTTTTTCACTAAATCCCTTCGGGTCACCACAGCGTGTACATCACTATAGTATGAAAAAGCAGACATACTTCACAAATACCAAAAATACACGTTAACAAGACGGTTAACAGATATGGTACTCAAACTACAGCTCTCTTATTATTTGGAGAAAATGTCTGTAATTTTACATGTGATAATTCGTCAAATTTACCTGATAAAAATATCATCCAGAAAACCAGGAAGCAAGTTATCCTCGACAGGGCAGCCATTTCTTCCTTTACTACAGTTGACACATACCTTAGCGCACTGCTATTGTGTTACCGGTATTGTACCGCGGGTCGATTGACATAAAAAGATTTCTTTACGCTCTAGAGGATAAACATGTAAAACAAACATACTCAGTGACGTCGCTTTTTGGGTTAGGGGTTAGAGTTGAAATCCGACGTTATAAAAATAAATATTTTTTTCGGGCTTCGAATTCCCGTGTCTGCTATGAGTCTCATTACATACATTGTTTTAATAACTTTAGGGTACATATGTAACTTGAACGAAGCATATTGTAACCTAGTTGTGTTTTTTTTCATTTAATTGGTTAGATGTAGATTTTTTCGTTAGTTGGCAGCAGTAAACGCCTTTTTATTTTTCGCAGTCAGAATTCATGCACTGCATTATCTATAAAGTTTGTCATGAATATGCATGCATTTTGGATTTCGATATCTAATATGAAAGCAATTATATCATTGTGCGTTTCTTTACATTTCATGCATATCCGACTTTAAGTGAGGTCAGTGAATTTCACGCACGTGGCCCATAGAACAGTAACGTGGTCATCTGAATTAGTTCATATAATTAAATATAAAACATGTCTATTGAAAAAAATAGTGTTAGACTCTTATCAACAGCCCAAGCTTATAAAGAGGAAGTTTTATCACACATCACCAAAATAGGGAAATGCCTTGTACCCATTATTGGGGAAACTCAACTCTACAGCCAGGTGCTATACGGTATGTAAATTAACACTGGCGGTCCTGGTAAGTTCTCATGAAAACATATTCAATTCCCTGTTCACATGGATTAATATAGCATTATTTTGTGCACGTACGTATTATCAAACATCTCCCTTTAATATTTGAAATGGAAAATTGCAAGAATCGGTTACAATGAGAACGGTATTAATGTAGGCACTCTGTTACCTGAGAAAAATACATATAATTAAGCATAGATTACTTAGTTTGAAAATCATAGCGAGTAAATTATTCTGAATGCTGGGGTTTCTCAATACACACTTGAGCCTATAACTCGATCATTTAAAGACGCTGTACACTGTATAGGCACATTTGTTTCAATCTCTGGAGTTTGCACTTATATGTATTACTGCTGTCTTATCGAAAAAGATCATTAATTATTGGGCATCCAAAAAGACAACAATTGCAATCAAAGTTTCCTGTGACTGGATGATACCCGTTAGCGCACCTTGTCTTTTAAACAATTCGAAGCATATTTTAAAAGAGACCATATCACCCATACCGGTGAGCTGGCTAACATCATACATATACTGGTGGTTATTGGTCTAAACTGTGATCTACGTCAGTGTTGATCCCCATAAAAATAACATTGATTTCAAAATGTAATTTATGATTTCCATTTCGATGGTGGTAATTGCTTGGTTAGGATTGCAGGTTCTTCCACAAGCCTACATCTGGAGGTTGACATACGTGTCAAATTTACGGACGTATTCTTCAACCACATCGTAGCAAAATACATACTGTTCCTATAAAATAAAACGCAGGGTATAGTTACATACAACTGTGAGTTCATAGATAAACCAACTTCAAAGAAGATGAATAATTGATATGTATGTATTATATTTTGAAAAGCTGTGTATTGCAGACTTGGACACTTTATTTCTATCAAAGCGTCTTGTGTTTACTAGCGGTCTCTACTTACAGTGTAAAGGTACGTGTTTGTCACCCAAATGAGACACGTATTGTAATCACGTTACCTTGCTATTGATCAGCTGTGGTCTGTTTTGTCTGACAGCCTTCACCGTGTGGAAAACATCCACTTCCTGCTCCACCTTCAGCTTGTCCAGTATGCGAGCCACGGCACAGAACAACCCGCTCTGGTGGGCACCGTTCCTTTATTATAGAAAAAGATTAAATGACTTTCGGTATGCTCAACTGATAGAAAATTGCTGACTAAACATTAGTGACTATGCAATAATGACTATACAATATTATTTATTGAATTATAGGTTTAACAGAAAGGCCAGAAAAAATGGCGTTAGAATTACACTTACGTGTATTATATTAAATTGATATAATTCCATCTGAATATTGAATGTTGAATAGTCAAAGGATGAGTGCGAATAACCATTGGCAAAGTGCCCATCGTCAAAATTTAAAAATAATTTGCTATTATAAAGTTTATGCATATATTTGTTGCATGGAAAAATANCTGGCGGTCCTGGTAAGTTCTCATGAAAACATATTCAATTCCCTGTTCACATGGATTAATATAGCATTATTTTGTGCACGTACGTATTATCAAACATCTCCCTTTAATATTTGAAATGGAAAATTGCAAGAATCGGTTACAATGAGAACGGTATTAATGTAGGCACTCTGTTACCTGAGAAAAATACATATAATTAAGCATAGATTACTTAGTTTGAAAATCATAGCGAGTAAATTATTCTGAATGCTGGGGTTTCTCAATACACACTTGAGCCTATAACTCGATCATTTAAAGACGCTGTACACTGTATAGGCACATTTGTTTCAATCTCTGGAGTTTGCACTTATATGTATTACTGCTGTCTTATCGAAAAAGATCATTAATTATTGGGCATCCAAAAAGACAACAATTGCAATCAAAGTTTCCTGTGACTGGATGATACCCGTTAGCGCACCTTGTCTTTTAAACAATTCGAAGCATATTTTAAAAGAGACCATATCACCCATACCGGTGAGCTGGCTAACATCATACATATACTGGTGGTTATTGGTCTAAACTGTGATCTACGTCAGTGTTGATCCCCATAAAAATAACATTGATTTCAAAATGTAATTTATGATTTCCATTTCGATGGTGGTAATTGCTTGGTTAGGATTGCAGGTTCTTCCACAAGCCTACATCTGGAGGTTGACATACGTGTCAAATTTACGGACGTATTCTTCAACCACATCGTAGCAAAATACATACTGTTCCTATAAAATAAAACGCAGGGTATAGTTACATACAACTGTGAGTTCATAGATAAACCAACTTCAAAGAAGATGAATAATTGATATGTATGTATTATATTTTGAAAAGCTGTGTATTGCAGACTTGGACACTTTATTTCTATCAAAGCGTCTTGTGTTTACTAGCGGTCTCTACTTACAGTGTAAAGGTACGTGTTTGTCACCCAAATGAGACACGTATTGTAATCACGTTACCTTGCTATTGATCAGCTGTGGTCTGTTTTGTCTGACAGCCTTCACCGTGTGGAAAACATCCACTTCCTGCTCCACCTTCAGCTTGTCCAGTATGCGAGCCACGGCACAGAACAACCCGCTCTGGTGGGCACCGTTCCTTTATTATAGAAAAAGATTAAATGACTTTCGGTATGCTCAACTGATAGAAAATTGCTGACTAAACATTAGTGACTATGCAATAATGACTATACAATATTATTTATTGAATTATAGGTTTAACAGAAAGGCCAGAAAAAATGGCGTTAGAATTACACTTACGTGTATTATATTAAATTGATATAATTCCATCTGAATATTGAATGTTGAATAGTCAAAGGATGAGTGCGAATAACCATTGGCAAAGTGCCCATCGTCAAAATTTAAAAATAATTTGCTATTATAAAGTTTATGCATATATTTGTTGCATGGAAAAATATTATTTGGTTTGAGGCATCGTAACTTAGTATTTTAATGAGTTATATGTGGGGGGGGGGTAGCCGGATTTACCTGTTGTATGCAGTCTAATGAATCAGAGCAACTTGTTTCAGCATTTATATTACGTAAATGATTTTTTTTTTCTAATGAAACTGGTCTTGTGATGTAAAAAAGAGTTTTGTGTTAAATAATTGTGGTGTGGCACAAGTAAATGGGAAAGTAATTTTTTTTTAATCCTAGAGAAGAGAGGGAGAGGTATATTACGGTATTTTCTCACAGAAGCCATCACTGATTTCACTTAACTGTATTTAAGTCTTGTTACCAGAAAAACTTGTTTCAGCCTATTTATTAATTTTATATAACTTTTCTCACAGACCAGCCTTTGTTGGTATAAATAATTGTATTTTTAACCAATACACATTTCTAAGGAATAGTAAAAAATGCTAAAAGCAAAAGGCTATTACAGTAACAAAAAAAAAATCATGTGTAAAAGCACTCTAAATAGCTATTTGGAATGTTTCCATAAACCATAAAATAAACAAGGTGTAAATTGTACCAAAATAATGATAAGGTATAACTAAAAACTAAATGAAAATATAGTACACCTAATAACAGTTATGACCAATAATCTGTATGACAATGAAATTAAATCACCTAAAAAGTACTTAATATATGATTATGTAATGATAAAGACCTTGTATAGAATGCAATGCAAGAGTTATTTTATACAAAATATACAAACATGAGTATAAAAGAATGAATAATGAAACAATAGATAATTAATCAGATGTGCTGTCTGAAGCACTTTTTGTCTTGCTTATACTGTCACCACTTGATGTTGGTAAATGTGAGGTATCCAAACAGCCTTCTCCACAACATAATTTTCGATTGTATCCCTGCTTCATGTCAAACCTCATATACCACAGGACTGAAGTGATATGTGCACAACTTCCAACTGTCTTTGAACCAGCTTTTCACTGTCAGTACCAGCCACTGATGGGTTTAGTTTTGCTATGGGAGGTCTTAATCCATAATGTGTACTGGTGGCTAGATGTGTGTCTTAATTAACAATTTTGGCTCTGATTAAATCAGGTGCATCCTTGCATACACTGATTTCAAACTGGCCATGTAGCAGATGCACATCAGTATATTGGCTAGCTTGCTTTATCTGGTTAACTTCTGGTAATTGTTATAGGCTGGTGGTCTCTTGTATGGACAACAATTTTGGTTGTACAAAATGTCCTTTCATGCCCATTAGAGGGGGTTGGGTCAAGCCACCTTTATGTGTAGGGGTCTATTACAGCATGCATGGGTCTCTATATAAAGTAGGAGCCACCACAATGTACATCTGCTATTATGATAATTAATGTAACTTTGAATATCTGAAGCACATTTTACATTTTATCTTTTTTTATCCTAAGACATAAGAATGAAAGTAAGATATACTTACTGCATTTGGACTCTATTTCCTATCCATATTTCCTTTTTTTTATGATAGCATGCATTACATATATGAAAATGACTTTTCCTTTTTTTTTTTGGTTGTAATTGAAAATATTTTACTGACTCTAACCCCTATTTTCCTTTCATAGACCTACATTTTATTTTGGGTTGTTCTTTGTGTACAAAAGTTTCACTGTATCTGCCTAGCCATCCTATGTAAGCATGTAGCAGCTACCTCATGGCAGGAATAAACATGGCCGCCTGCTAGCATATGGACTGAAAATTTCCCTATTTAGTTTGAGTACATATCGAGCCCAACCCTCAGACAAGCTGATTTTCACATATATCTCACCTTATATTCATGTCTTTTCAACCGTGAATAATTAGCTTGTCTGAGGCAGGGGCTCATATAAAAAATGAACATCTTTTAGCCTCAAGTCACTGTAAGATTCTTCTTTCAATTAGCACTACATGTATAAATAAAGCAATCAAATTACTGATCACAAACAATGATTGGCCACATGTTGCCTTACATTTTACATGGGCACCTTCTGTACCCAAATACAAAATTTCACAGTTGTCACCTTACTATAACTAAAGATATGTAGCATTGCAATTCAGACCCCCCCTAAAACACACATTTTCATGAATATTTGACAAGGTCATTTTGACATTATTTTTTTATATTCCAAATTCAATAAAAAAAAAATTTTTAAGTGGATCATAAAAGTGTAAGACCCCAACTTTAATTTGGCATCAATTTTTTTCCATTCATTCACAATTTATTTTTCATGTACAAAAGTGGGCACTTTTACCCCCTTATTCGCACTCATCCTTTGTTTCCAGTTTTAAGAGAAGTAGCACAACATATGATTAGCATTCGAGGGTGGCTGTAAAAACTCACATGCAGTGTACAGATATGGGAGTGTCTCCACTTTTCTTTTGCCATTGATGAACAGCATCAAACAGCTCAAGAAACGCACGCGGTGATGGCGGCACTGGTTTTGAAGTCATCCAGTCGTGAAACTGAAATTGGCAGACTTTTCTCGCGGAGCCCGAGTGCTATAAAAATTGAAGGAAAATAAGAGTTTAACAGTGATAACAGCATTTGGTATATTCATAGTAAATCCCTTTTAAATGGGCAGTTTTATTAAAGATTAACACTCCATTGGGATACATATGCCAATATTCCAAATACAGAGATATATGATAGAACGCGTAACATAACGCGTAACGCGTCTTCTTGCCTGAGCTTAGACCATTATTACAAACGGTTACATAATTATGGAAATCGTACTCACATCCTTAGAATTGACCAATTTCAACTCTCTAACTGTGATACTTTCCCCCCTCTGGCGTGTAGAGATCACTTCCACATTAAAAGGACCGTAAGAAGTCACCTTTTCTGTCGGCCAGTAAACACCACTTGTCTAAGGAAATCAACAACTCAGGTGTAATAGTGATGTTATCGGGCAAAGAAAATACACGTCTTGTGTTGAGATAATAGGAATGCTTGTATTTTAAGACGGATAAATTTATTAAGTATTTGTAACAATCAAAAATCAGCCTGAATATCAGTTATCATTTTAATTTGACGCAAATATAACCTATATTGTCTGGAGGATTATTCACTCGGCAGTTTTTACAATTTTTTACCTTGCTATCGTCGCTAGATTCATTCAACATAACTATAGTCACACAATGCTGGTCATACATCATACATCATACTCCAGAAGTCAATCACCGTATGAGGCAGAGGCATCTGCGTCACATTATAGGCATCTCGGCGTTGGTATCCCTAAAAAATTTTGTTTCTAATATTTTAGACTGTCACGTATACATGCATTACTTACAAAAAATATCCGTTTATTTAGGAAAGCAATAGTCTTAAAGGCATTAAAAGCAAATAAGCTTTTTACTTAATGAACAAAATGGGTAACATATAATTGGAACCCGCTTTCAAATTTTTAAGACGATACATGTACAATGTTTTATCAGATTGATGAACTAATTGTTTATGAGTATAAAGTAAATAAACCATACGTCTATGAACACTGCATTAATGTAATCAGTGCTGCCCTCCGCGTATGATGTAAGGCGTGGTCTGCAGTGGTTGCCTTCATATTGGAACAGACAAAATAATAATTTGTTTTAGAACAAACGTTAATGCGTCACAATTCAACAGCATTTTGACGTGGTTTAACACACACAAAAAAAAAGTACTGCGATACGGACAGTATAAACTATAATTTAAAAAAGGAACACTAGTACTAGAAAAAGACAGCTCAAAATATATCATCCGATGAATTAAATTAAAGACTACAGAAATATTTATGTCGATGCAAAATGTTCAAGATAAATAGGTTCGGCAAATTACCAAAACGCCAAAGTATGTTATTAAACGCAAACGTAACTAATGATAAAGGGAGGATAAGTACGGCAAGATAGTCTTGAAGTGGTTTAAAACTTACCTGCTACAATATTAGTCACTCTATTCTTGCCAATATTGATGGGCTCCAGGGCAGTCTTTGTGGAACTTTCTTCTATTTCAGGCAGCATGAGGTTCAGTACCTGGTCAACGGAGAAAAACTAACACAATATATATATATTATAAATTATGGGTACTTATCGCAAATAGTTTAATTTTCAATCTATCATTTCTTATGTTAAAAAAACTACTCTATCGTTCAAAATTAGGAAACATTTACTCCATGACTTACAGTGAACTCTTCTTCCATTTTGGTCAGTCCAGTCTTGTTCCTTCGTCTCAGTGTCCGCAGACGACCAGCAAGATCATGCAGTTTAATAATTTCAAGTCATAACTTTTATTATTCTCCATAATACATTGTGTCAATTTTGAAGAGGCTGAGTAAGGCTTGTTTACCTGTCACATTAAGAAGCCAGTGATAAGAAGTGCTTGAAGCCATTGGCTGGAGTACGTACTAAAAGTGTGTAATATTGAATAGAGAAGCAGAATGTACCTGAGGAGGCAACGAGTTCACATTAAACGATTGAAACTGGTCATTTTTGTCAGTGTGGATTTCCTCCGTAGCGACTTAGACGTAACGATTTAGACAGCGAATCTGGAAGGTTACACTAACGCGTTATCCTAACTAAAGTATCCAACGGTGTCCGCATTTCGAGCTCAATTCTAATTTGGTTTATATCTAAATTTGCGCGGTTCCGGACAACCAGTGTGTTTACCTCTGCGTAAGCAGATGTTTTTGTTGAGGCAAGAAGTGAACGGACGCTTGGTACAGGTGGTGCCGCAGGTTCTGGAATGTGGAAAATTGATTTTAAGCAGAACAGTTGGGAAATAGGAAATCTATAAATAATTATATTATATTATAATTATGTTATTTTGTTAAGGGTATTAAATGTGACCCAGTCGATTGCAAAATAAAGTAACACAAATCGCGATTAAATCGTATTCATTTTACCTCCACATGTCCTTGCAGTGGTTACTGGGCTGGAAAAGCCATAATATCCTGCAACATTAGTTATAGTTACGGTTATATTGTACTCCGTGTATTTAGAAAGATTATCCACACTGGCTGTGTGGTCTTCCGGTGACACTGTTACTCTCCTAAGTAGATTTCCCCCCCGCCATACTCGAATGACGTAGCTGTGAACACTACCAACCCCAGAACCCGTCAGGGGTGACCACTTTTGCCAACTTATGGTGAGTGAATCTCCTGTCCTAGATGTCACATCCGGCGCTGTGGTTAGATACGGAAATGATGATGTGTCTGCAAAATAAAAAAGAGAAAAATAAAGAGAACCCTAATAAACTGTATTTAAATATTCCATGCTGGTCTGGACCAACCTATTGGTATGATATGGAAGGCAACTCGGGATGTAAATATTTATTTCTCATATTATGCCAGACACAAATCTAAAGAAAGAAAGGTCATAATTGCCACAGTCCATGGCTATCTCGTACCGACTTGACATGTCCCATTATGTCCCTGCCAGCCTTCAGCACAGCCAGATGTACAGACTCCATACACAGGATGACACTGTTCATTGGTATCTCTACAGTTACAGCGGTTTTTGCATTCAGGACCAAGTTTTTCATTTGTGCACTCTGAAACGAAGTATATCAAAACTTAAAGAGATAACAACTGTTGTATGAGATACATATTTCACAACTAAAACATTGTAAATGATTCAGAAAAATGATTAATTCCATTTTGCCAGATATTATTACGGCCTGTTTGCGTCTAAATTTTTCGGAGAATCTCACGTGCCGGGCAAGTTCTTCTTGCGAAATTTGGAGTTCGCAGACAGCCCGTAAGCACGTACGGAGGATGTTGGACAAAAGATTCTATGAATAATCTGTGAACAGCGAGGCCGCAAACGTAACTTGCTCCACTCGCAAGGAGTTCGCGAGAAGTATGCAAGTGAATCGTGTGGTCCAAGACGCACGTCGTTAACAATGAAGGAGCAAGTATCCTTTGCGTGTTGAGTAAGACGCACGCCCTCACAGCTAACGAACCAAGTCGAAAGCACGGTGGACGTGCGTCGCCCCTACGCCAGGAGTATAAAAGGCGTGCTCACGATGCACACTCGTGTCTCTACAAATAACGTCGCTTGTGCCTTGTGTACAACATTTCAAAAATTTCGAAATTTGCTCAATTCAGCTTTTAATATGCCTCCAAAAAGCAAGGTAAAGAAGCAAAGAGAACAGAAAAGACACTTGTGCCTTGTGTACAACATTTCAAAAATTTCGAAATTTGCTAAATTCAGCTTTTAATATGCCTCCAAAAAGCAAGGGAAAGAAGCAAAGAGAACAGAAGAAAAGAAGGAAGGAGGGAAAGAAGGGGGAACAGGAAGCAAAAACGACGTACGCGGTCAGTACGTCAGTACAGGCGAGTGAGGCAATGAAGTGTGAAGCAAAAGGAAATTACTTTCGCCGTGCGTAGCATTCTCTTCATAAATGGTGAGTGCATGCCGCGTACGCAGGCATCAAGACAAACTCAAGAAATGAGTACATCGCACCTTGCAATTAGCGTCCCTACTTCTCACGTGGACCCCGTGGCTCGCAAGGCAGACTTGGGCCTTTACATTGCAAACTTCCCTCTACCTCTACGAACTCCACGGCCTCCACTGCACCTAAAATTCGCAGGGGCCGTACGATCCTAAAATTCGTGCGTCCGGTTGTGACCGAGGCTTAACTTAACCGTCGCCATAAAACATCGTTTGTCTACACCAAACTTCCCTTTGTATAGAATATAACAAAAATACTAATAAAGGCAATCATAAGGGATATGCATTTAATGCACAAAATACATTCACCTTCATATTTGAACCCTTTGACAGTCACTTCACAGAGTATCAATGGGGCCATGTGCTGCAGCTGGACAATCACGTCTTGGCCAATATACGGCACTTGGCATGACAATTCTATACTTCCACCACGGGGCACTTGGGGAACATGCGTGGCACATAGGTATTTGTTGTTTGAATATGTGCTGTTACGTATCTCTACTTTTACATTTTTTAAGTATTTTCCGGCTGAAAGTTTAAACAAAGATACATCAAACATGATACTTAAGTAGATCTGGCGCCTAAGATATAAGTTTTTGCTCAAAATTGAATAAAAAAATTAATAAGTCCATATGGCTGAAAATTGTCATTTATTTGAATGACGTAACGTAATATGATGCAAAGTTACAAGATGGGGGATGGTAACAAAATCTAATTTAATGATCACACATACATCCCCTATACAATGGAACAATAAGTTGGCAAGGGCAAAACAATGGCCAGGTGATAGGGAATGGTGGAGGGTTAAAATGAAATTTATATAATATCAAAAGTTAATGATCTTCAAGTGTAGCTGATAAAACAGTTCGAGTGGATTATAATCACCGCACTTTACCGCAGCTAAAAACCGACTGTCTTGCACCAAAACTAGTATTTCAATGTCATAGACCCCATTTCCATAGATTTTAGATCGATCTATCCCTGTGGGGAGTCTCACTAGATTACTGTCAGCTTAGCCGGCTTAAGCGTCTGTCCCGGCTACTAAAAGCTGTAAGGGGAAATTAACTATGGTGCGCGCTCGGCTGACTGCAATTTAGCGTGAACCCCCAGGGAGTCAGGTCGATCTAAATCTTAATCTCTGGATCGATCTAAATCTCTGGGAATACACCCTTAGTCCACAATGATTAAAAACCAGAAGTGCCCTAGTACTGCCCCGATCATCTATTACACTCTGTGTTCTATAACCCACAGACACCCTAAACTTAAACTATCTCCTATAACCTTGCCGTTCTCTCCATAAACACAAGCATTTACCATAAATGTTGTTTTAGAGAAATGGTATCAGAATTGCACTAACACAAAAGGCACCTGTCACTCCATTCCATTATGAGGTCCCCCCATTCCCTCCTCAAACACAAGAATTACAACGAGGGTAATGAGGACACAAACGATGTCGGTTTTCTACATATTACAGTAAAATTGGGTTTGTCTATACTGTTCAAAAGGTTATTTGTCGAGCGAGGCCAATACGGCGAAGTAGAACAAGGAAACTGAGAAATAAAAATTGGGGCAGACAAACAAAATTTCGTGATGAAGGTTTTAGTATGTGTCGTACAGACCGGGTAACATGACCACCATATCTAATTGTGTTACATGCCATACCCAAAAAGTTGGCGCAACTGACCACCTCTAAATGTCAGAAACTAACACTAAAAATAACACATAAATTTAACTTCTGGATAGAAAAGGTCAACCCACCACCTTACATATTAGTAGTAACACACGGTATATGTGTAGATGTATGTTTAAGATTCAGCACGTTCTGTCACATCCACTATAAATCTCCGACGATGTACAGGCAAACAAAATATAGCTCTTTGCAGCTAATACCGGTAGCTTACAAACTTAATAAAAGCCGCATTTTTCGCTCGGAGAACGTTTTATTCAAACTATAGCTAAAATAGTTTTCAGGGCTACCAGAATCTCAATTTAGTGTGGTCTACCTCACGTCTGTCAGCGGTTTACTGCTTTGTCCGCTCCAAATCGCCTTTTCGTGGCGATTTAAATTCTAGGGAAACCTAAACGAGACCTGTCCAAAATTACATCTCCTCAAACACCCGCCCCGATCAAAACCAAAAGGATTTAAGTTAGCTTGTCGGTAGGCTGCCGAAGCTTAACACTTTTCCCACTCGCCTGCCCGTGCCCAAACACAACGTATTACATAGACAAGACCGAACTGTCGAAAAGGGATATAGCTTGTGACACCAATGAATATTGAACTTTGGGTGTTAGCGGCTGGTTGCTGCATCACAAACGCTATCCAAATAAGGGTATGTGAATGCCGAATTTAAAGACTTTGGGTGCACTACACATATAATGCAACACCTGCCAACATGGAATTTCAAGAAGTATCACCAAGTTCAGCAGTGCCTGCTTGGCGAGAAAAAATGCTACACAATCCAGTTAGAAAGTACATGTAGCTAGCCAGTTATTTCGTTTAGGTTATTCGTGTGCATTAACAGTTTTCGTAAGACTAATTATGACAAACCTTATTGGTAAAGAAAGGAACATTTGTTGCAACGATTGAGTAATTTGTTAGCTATTTAAGTGATGAAACTCTGGTACTGCCTTTTCATCACAAACACAATTACAGAAATTATATTACAGGTATTCATAAGATGTATGAAGTCAAATTTAAAGTTTATTATACTACATCATAATATCTCTTTGTTAATATTTTGGAGGTACTTTTATTTCCTACTAAAATTTTGTTCAGATTTCACTTACTTGGGCTATGTAAGAACCCCTTGTAACCTAAACAGTCTGTGATAATATCGAACTGTCAGAAGGAGCTGCGAATAGGAGCCCCAAATTCTATATGTTCACTTCTTTTGGTATAATTAGTGTATGTCGAACGTTCAGTTCTGTGTAGAAAAAGTCTAATTTTTAGATGTTGTTTGTTCATAATTCTAGTTCAAAAATATAAACAAATATCTTGAACCGCCAGACTTTTTTTGCAATCTCTAGTTTTTCGCCTGGTTATTAGGGTTTTAACTGTTAAGTTAAAACTGGATTCGATATCCCATAATTTACCAACGGCGAAAAGACATAAATAAAAAATACCTTTGAGTTCGTAGTTGACCACACGAGTTTATTTGTTTAGAATAGTCTCGTTTCATCAACATACTTTCATTGGTTTGTCAAAAATTATATTCTAATGTGAAAGAATCTTCCCAAGGCGTTCATGTATACTTACAGTCGCCACCATCACCTCTGTTAAATAACGTAACACTGTAAATCACATACTCCTGACCCAGGTCCACCCGCCACCAGGGGTATGATGTTACGTCTGTGTGAGTACATGACCCAGCACTGAAATATGCGGTAACATTTCCGTCTATAGCACGACTTGCCACTGCTCCTGCAACTTCACTGATTTGTTCCGCTGTTTTTCCCATAGCCACATTGTCTAAAATATGAAATTTGATACGCACGCGTGTGGTGTCGCCTTCAATACGTTTGCAGCCTTAGCAATATTAAAGGTACTACATATATAGTAATATGAATGCAATTTATACAATTTCAGAGAGCAGCGTTGTCTCACACAAAATACGTATATTTAATTACAAGCTACTTTTAAATGATAAACAAAAATGTTTGCTATTTATCATCAACAGAAAAAATAAACAACAGTTTATCAAATAATTCTATTAAAACATGAAAAGCTCCCATAAACTTTCTAACCTGTAAAAACATATTTCTTACATGTAAGTCAACTTACATGGATACGTGAAGCCTCTCACGATCATTTCACACAACCGTAATATGCGTCCTCCGTGAATTTTTCGTAAGTTGACGTAACGAGCTAAAATTGGCGGGACTATCTCGTACTCTAAAACTGCAGTTGAACACTGTGTATTAGGAACAGATACATCTCTGCATCCAGTACCTGATGCTGTGTTAATGCAGAGGCGGGCACCTTGGAACTGACCTGGTAAAATGATAGGATTTAAACACATTTAATATATGCCGTACGCACTTTTGATCAGAAAGGTTATCACACCTATAATTGGAATGGTGGCGCAACAACATTTTTGACTAAGCGTGTGGACAGACACAGCTTTGGCTGGATAAATAAGTAGTTCTTGCACAAATGCATCAAAAGAGCATTGAAAGGCAAGTTATATCACCATAGTGTCAAACTTACATATGTTGTCAAATGTAGTAGGTTTTATCAATACGACTCTCCGAACAACATATAAGCCCCCCAGGTCCACACTCCAGGTGGGATCGTAGGAGAGGTTCGTTCTTATACATTTCATGTTATCTGTGCTGTTGTCACCATCCACTGCAAGATTTGCTGGGTAACTCACGCCACCTTCGCTGTAGGTACTTGACTGTGTAGCTGGCTTCCTATGTGCTATATTGATCTTTTCTGAAATAAAAAATAAAGTTCAGGAGCAAAGCTCTCAGGTAATTCTAACCTACATGTAAAAAAAGAAATAAAAACGATTGACCTTATTTGTAACCACAACCTACCACTACCAGTGCCGTATCCTAAGATAATTGAATGAATTACATTAATTACAAAACGTCTTTAAAACCCCACTTACCATCATGACATCCTATTCCCCAGGGGTTGTCCACGCAGTGTTCAGGACATGTTCCTAGAGTCCGTTGACATCTCTGTCCTTGTTTACAGAAACACCCAGCTGTTGTGTTACACTGCCAGCCAAAGTAACCGTCACCTTCCATACAGCACAGACATAGGTATACTGACGATAGAAGAAAACAAACTAACAGTATTATATTTTTAAGTGAAAATGATTAAGATCGACATACAGGTGCATATCGACCTACAATTTAATAAAATAATTAAAAGAAGGCGCCTCTCAGACTAGACAAACACTTTGGTTATATACGGTCTGGCTTTTCTCTAGGCGCTTTTCATGACACTCTGGTTTGAACTCGGGCTGGGTCAGCTCATCGCCCACGTCACAAACAGTAAATTGACAGATGTTAATCACGTATAAAAATACTGATCACACGTCGATCAAGATACTTTAACTCTCCTCCAGATTCATACTAAAACAAATACTGTTACTCTATATGCTATGATTTGTCCGGTTTACCTGTTAAAAATATCATCCAGACAACCAGGAAGCAAGTCGTCCTCGTCAGGGCAGCCATTTCTTCCTTCACATACCTTAGCGCACTGCTGTTGTGTCACTGGTATTTTACTTCAGGTGGGTTGACAAAAGAGTATTTTTGTTCGCGCAAAATCAAAGATTAAAAGGGTGAACAAGCATGATAAGTGGCGCACTTTTTGGAGGAGATGAATCTGTCTGTGAAAAAGATACACCTTCATACGCTGTATATCTAGCATTGTTCCCTTTCATATCAATGTGGCTGACATGAGAAAGGCATATGAATACTGTCTGAAGATTTAGCATCGTGTACATGTATGGTACAAAGCTAGGCTGAATTTTCGAATCAGTCCTAAATAACTTTATTCTATTTTCAGAAGTATTGATACCAGCACGGGGTTTAACTTCAAAAAATCTGCATACTCTTATGCTTTGCGATTTATTAAAAATTTCATGCGCAATCCTGCCTGGCCAAGTGAAAAGTTTGACATTTGTATGAGAAACAGCATTTTGTTTTAGGTTGCTCAACATTTTTTTTTCTGTCCAGTCACACTACGGACACTGTCTATATATTCTCATATTATTCTTTTATTCATCGACACCAGATATGTATGCCATTTGAAAACTTTCATTTTGCCTCATAAAATGCATAATCATGTTATTAAAGCAGAAAAAGGAGATTTATTTGAACGCGCATCAATATAAAGTAAGCGTTGTTACTGATGAAAAGAAGTATTGCCACATATTAACTCAAACATGGTATAAGAATTGGCTGCAACATTTTCGTCAATAAGCTGATTTTTTACGAAGAAAATTGTTTGGTTTACGACATTACAGATGTACGCGTCTTTTCCTTGCGCGCAGGCATACATATTTGATAAATGAATATTGGTGCAAAAATTCAGCTTTTCGGTTCATAACAAAAACGGACTGTTGTTTGCTAATTCACAGTCGATGTCAAAAAAAGAGAAAATTAGATGTGTTTTTGCATATTTTATTTTTGTAACAAGGTACATGGCTCTATAGACACATTTAATAATTTGCTGTAATTGTGATGAAAAGTTTGTATCCGAAGTTAATCAGTTGTCGAGGGTAAATAAAGACATATTTGCAACATCCAGAATATTTTGCTCTCCTTGCTATTATATTTAGCGTTATGAATTGTATATCTTCTTCTTGAATAAATACTACTACCTCTAATGAAATATCCTTTAGATAAAAAGACCAATAGATCTTCCAAAGTAATAAACATTTATAATACTTTGATCTTTAAAGAGCACCTTAAATTTCTATTAGCCGTGTTCATCAACGTGAGACATGGTCTCCAAAGCTCCTTGCTCATTTGGACTGAGTACATTTCAGTGAGGCTGTCTTTAATATAATCCAGTCTTTGTGAACAAATGGGCTTTTTGGAACATTGCACAGTCCTTGACTTTTCCGTGTTTCGGGTTGGGTCAACCGTTCTTCCTTGGAATATATTTTGGGCATTTAAAGTACATAAAAATTGCTAGGTCCCCTTCCCTAGGCGGCGGTCGGCATAGGGAAGGCTTGGGGTAGCACGGGGTTGGCGGTGGATTATGTTGTGTAGGCTTTTGGTGGCAAAAGGTCGGGGGGGGGGGGTTGATTCGTGCACATTGGTGAATATGTAACGGTCGGTCATTGCAATTAAATTCTTCGCAAATGTATTCCCGTGAATGTACAAAGCATGATCCATTCATTCCGCTTAGATGTTTGCAGCGCTCCTGAGTACTTTAAAATAATTCCACAACTTTTTACTCAAAGAGAGAGTTCATATCGCCCATAAACTTCACAAAATCATTAAAAAAGTGTTGGTCAAATAGTTACTTATCTCTTTGACTCACTGATCAGGTGGCTTGCACCCTCCCCTGGTACCTCCTACGTTACAAATGGCAAGCATACTGCAGGAAATTTAAAGCCTTTTTTCTCCTCTGTCAAAAGATACTGACAAAAAACAAATACAGTAATGTCATTATAAATCCTGGATAACATGTACGAGTACATATCATTTATAGTAGTAAAATATTAATAAACTATATGTTTTTAGCAACAGCTTAAAATACAGGAACATTAAGTTATTCCTTAATTCCTCAGTTGCATGTATGTCTATTGCGTAGCTAAATGTAAAACTTAGACTATGGCAATCGCTTCCAGTATGTGTCAGTGATTTCTTCCCTCCTTCCAAAGAAATAAAAGTTTATAGGGAGGTCAGAAAAGCAAGCAGTGTCCTCGTCCCTCTATCTAACGACATTGTTGCTTGGAAAAACAACAGTTGATTGCAAGTAATCATAAAATCTGTACTTAAAAAAGGGAGCCTTTCTTTTATATCTCCTTGAAGGCGACTTCTTCAGTGTCCTTTAAAATCCTACATATGGAAGTTGGCGTACGTGTCGAACCTGTGAGCGTATTCTTCAATCACTTCATAGCAAAAGTAGTACTGCTCCTACAAGATAAAACACACTGTATGTACTTGCATATTAAGCAAATTTGACAAATATATAACTGTAACAGGTTTGAAGAGGAAGGGATATTTGTTACAGCCTTACTGTACTCAGTATATCATTTAAACAGACTTGCATATGACAGACAGTTGTGCATGTATGTACCTTGCTATCGATCAGCTGTGGTCTGTTTTGTCTGACAGCTTTTACCGTGTGGAAGACATCCACTTCCTGCTCCACCTTCAGCTTGTCCAGTATGCGAGCCACGGCGCAGAACAACCCGCTCTGGTGGGCACCGTTCCTTTATTAAAGAAAAATATAAGATGGCTTAAAAACAGTGTCACATGAGCAAAATGTCATCAACTAAATAGTTTGATCATAAAAAAATGTAGTATGGATTTTAACACAAGCTAAAATCTCCCTACAGTTTTAATTCGCTCAAGGCATTTATGGCCAACTTTGTCAGAGACCATCATCAGATCAATGCGAGTAGACAACGGCAGTGGGTGATAATATATATATATACTTACACCAGTCTGTTGAAGGCATCCTGCCAGGTTGGCCGTTTAAATCAAATAGGAAATTCCCTTTTGTGTTCATAAACTTTATTATTATTATATAAAAGCTTGTGTCTTGTTTTACTTACATGCAGTGGACAGTTATGGAAGTGTTTCCACTTTTTTGTTGCCATTGTTGAACTGCGTCAAACAGCTCAAGAAACGCACGCGGTGATGGCGGCACTGGTTCTGATGTCATCCAGTCATGAGACTGGAATTGGCAGACAGTTCTTGGAGGGCCGGAGTGCTAAATAAGTCAAAGAAATAATAATCAGAGTGTCATTGTAACTAAATATTTTGTACTGTTTAATTGTCGTTTTTTATATAATATAATACAACCTTACGCTATATTATTATTGGTCGATTCACAAAGCGACCTGGGCATTTGACGTTAATAGTGCCTCTCTCAATCGAACACTGGTCCTTTACAGAGAAATCGACAATCAGCATAAAAGTCCTACCTACGTAAATCACAACGGCAATAGTATTTGTTTCATGAAAAATATACTTACTCGCTTTGAACTAACCAGCTTCAACTTCCTTACGGTGATAGATTCCCCAATCTGACGCGTAGAGATCACTTCGACAGTAAAATGACCGTAAGTAGTCGGCTCCTCTACCGGCCAGTACACGGCACTTGTCTGAGGAAAAGGCCAATTTAGCTGCTAAGTATGTTATCAGGCAATGGGGAATAAATATGTAATGTATAATAAAGAAACTTGCTTTTAAAAAACCAACCGCATATGATGTGCTTATTCACATTTTTAAAATCAGCTTTAGCAACCAGCATTTGTTACACTGTAGAAGTGCAAAATAAGGTCCGACTAAACCCATTCGATATAATTGTATTTTCTACCTTGCTATCTTCGTTCGCTTCATTCAACATAACTATAGTCGCACAATGTTGGTCATACAGCATACTCCAGAAGTCAACCACCGTATGAGGCAGAGGCATCTGCGTCACGATATAGGCATCTTGGCGTTGGTATCCCTAAAAAAAGTAAGATTTCTGATAAAGGGTTCCTAATAACAAGCGATTTATTAACGGAATTTGGTATTTATAGTATCTCAATAATATATCATAGCAAGGTTATAAAAACAGATTTCTGCTCCCTGAAGATCTTGCATAATTTTAAGAGATGCCTATTATTCAGGTAAAATCAAACTTGAAAATCGAAAAAATTAACAATACTCACAAACACGTCATCCACTCTGTTTGTAGAGTGTTATACTGTATGTCATTTATGAACAGAGCAGATGAAATTTATTTCAGTAAAATTATACCTGCATAGTTAGATTTTATATTTGTCTAAATAAAATTTTAATGATTCTTCATGATCAATATACTTAAACCGTACATCTATGAACACCGCATTAATGTAGTCAGTGCTGTCCTTCACGTATGACACAAGGTATGGTCTGCAGTGGTTACCTTAAAATATAGTCCAAATTCTCTCATAGTCCAAAGACTATAAATACAACCATATCTAAGATTTTATTTTTATTCTTAGTAAGTAGGAGTGAATAAAAAAAGAACAAGTGTATGTACGGTGTAGATGTATACATTTGTACGAGCAATAAAAAGGGTAAAAGACGCGGGCCGATAATTATGCTATAATAAAAGTAAACTTTAAGTAATAATAAAGTAATAAGAGAGAAATGTAGAACATGAAAGTAAAACTGAGGAGGTTTGTTTTAATGATACCTGCAACAATATTTTTCACTCTATTCTTCTCAATGTTGATGGGTTCCAAGGCCGTCTTGATGGAGCTTTCTTCTATTTCAGGCAACATAAGGTTTAGTATCTGCTCAGCAGAAAAAGATAATCATGTACCGATGTAACGAAACTGAGGGTCCGTGTGACAGAAAGTCCGCCCTCCATATAGTTATAATGGTTAGGGTTAATCTGACCTAAGTGGGTCAAAATCTAGGGCGAGGCTAACCTGTACAGATGAAGGGGAAGCGGACTCTTTGTCACGGAGCATAAAACAACAACAACGAAAACAACAACAACAATAATAATAATAATAAATGGTTTTTAAAATATTCAAAGGTACCCACACCATCCATCTAGCACCATGTCCAGAGTTGCTCACATAAATCTAACTTTAATCATATAACCCAGGGCTTGGAAAAACATTGAGAAACAAAAAGAACCGTTTTTTCACGACCTACCACAAACTCTTCTTCCATTTTGGTCAGTCCCGACTTGTTCCTTCTTCTCAGTTTCCGCAGACGAGTGGCAAAATCTTGCACTGGTATAGAGGTTAAACCACAATGCAGTTCTTCCAACATCACATCATGGATGAAGTAATATTGCTCCTGTAACAAATGTGTCTTTAAAATAAAATACGCAGCAGTGAGGACGAACCCACCAAATTCAAGTAATGAGTGCAATACTTCTATCCCTTTTTATTTCATACATAGCACCAATTAAATGGATTATCGCAAGCCATTACATGTAGCATGGCAATGCGTTCAACTGTTTTAAGTAAATTATTGTGAAACCCCTGTTCCAGGGTTTAAGATTTTTTACTGAGTACACTCTCACGTTTCAATATACACCCTGAATAGTGTAAACGCGCCAAACAATAATCTTGTCGATTCTACAGATAAAGTGCTTTACCACTGTCTGCACCATCTTCGGTCGCGATGCTCGCATTTCTTGGACGAGTTGATATATGTCGATTTTTCCTTCAGCAAGCACTTGTTCAAACAGGTAGTCCAGTGCTATGAAAGTTCCGGTCCTACCAACCCCAGCGCTTAAATGTAACGGAGACGCATTTCGATCAGTCATCAGGTTTTGCTTTGTCAATTATTACATGTTAGTCAGGGTTAATGAATAACTCGATACCCTTTATTGTTTTAATTGTCTTGAAATTGAAGAGTATAGAAAATTTTGAAGAATGTTGAATAAATTAACCAAATACATAGTGAAGATTCCTTTTGATTGATATTGATATGTGTTAAGAAAAAAACGAAAAAGACGTGTATTACCTGCAATGTACAATGATAGGTCCTTGGTCTTGAACCTGACTTTGATACTTCTTAACTTCCTCTCGGAATTTTACCAAAGCCGTTGAGTCAACAGGCACACCATGGTCAGGCCAACCGGTGAAGTGGAACTGTTTAACAATACGGACTGCTGGTTCTCCAACCTTCGAGAAAACACAGAGACTTGAAAAGATTTACGTGAAAATCTAACGAGTCACAGTTTTACTTTTGTAATAGTTCCAATGAAACTTAAAAAGAAAAGAACACTTTGCGGTGGTTTATTTTGGATCGTGCCAATATTCAGTAACTCTACTTACCTTACAATACTTCAGATTTCGGACAAAATAGTCCTGTCCTTGAATTTCATCCAGTGTAGTCACTTCTATTTCACCGAACTGTTTCACTCCCTCGTCTGCCCAGTACTGCTCACATTTTTGCTATAGTGAAAAAACGGGATGGTTTTTAAATTAGATTTAAGGTCTTGTACCAGAAACTGTATAAGAGGGTGAAATTCACGGAGAATGCTCGTGTCGATCTTCATCGCGCAATGTCAAGCGTATGACGGATTCAAATTAAGCAATTCATTCAATTTAATCTCATCTCAACTAATCTTAATTTTTTTAAACATTAATCTTAACTGTTTTTATGTCTCGCCATTAACACAAACGAAAGCATAAGTAAATGATAAATTAAAGTACTGGGTAGTATGGTGTTCGAAAATTGGCCATTGACGGCCGTTTTTATTGAAAGGTCCCTCCAGTGAAAGAAATGTTGTAAGGTTATTATATATCATTAAATAATGATGAGTCATAAAAGAACGTAATGTTATACAATACATATTAAGCTCACTTCCCAATTTTTTATTATATGGAACACGCGCGTTCTATCGGATGATACTGTTGTTATTACCTTGCCCATTTCCACAGTTTTTGTCACCATTACAATTTGTGGAGTGTGGACTTGCCAAATCATCCTCCAAAAGTCCTTCACGGTATTCGGTTTTGGACCTACACCAGAATAGAAAACATGTACAATAGCTTTTTATGTAACAAAGATGACTTTCAGCATGTTTCAAACTGTCGCCAATAGTGACAAATATTGAAATTGACAAAGCGAAAGTGTGTGTGCGTATGTGTGTGTGTGAGGGCGCATGTGTATGTTTGTCACTAATCAATTAAAATATCACATTTACCTTGAGCAGCAATAAATGCACGTGGTCTCTTATATCCCTGAAATAAAAAAGTGCAAATATGGCATCTGTTTCAGTTAAAAATGATATATATCATCCCTGACTACAGTTATTTAAGGAAATAAAGTAATTAATCACAGCCAATTGGATTACGTAAACGAGACTTCATGTTTGTTGGGTATCTGCTGTAGAGCACATTTGGCTTCTGGTACATTTTGGCTATTTGTTTTAGGCCATCTTTGTATTTGTTAGTAGCTTGAGCATATTATCACGAGCGAAATAGAATGGTAAATAACATACAGTGTGTTATAGTAAACTTACATCAATGTAGTTTGCGTTGACGTAGTCAGAGTTTGGATCACCTTGCAAAAGATCCAGTACAATTCGGCTATGGTCGTCTGATGGAAAATAAGAAATCGTTATAAAATCACATCATTATAATCACATTTATAGTTAAATACAAACGTGCTTAAAGGGATAACAGCTGTTCATTTTGGCCAGAAAATGGATTTTCCTAGGGTAAACAACAATTTTCCCATACTTACCAATGGTTAGTGGATCGATTCCGACATTTAATATTAGTCCATGGTATTTAAATATATTTTTGTTAGAATTTTTTAAGAGATTACAGAGCATAGACATCTATAGACGTTACGTGATCCGGTGGCAAACTCAGATCCTAGAATAATTGCGAATTTGGTGGTGAAAGGGAAATTATTTTATTTCTGTAAGTTGTGTACAATGTATCTTTATTGTGAAATATGAATTTCATACGAAGAGTTGTTATCCCTTTAAACTTGTGGCTTCGTTGTAATACACTAATAGGTAACTCGGATTTAAGGTTACAGTATTCGGGTGCTGGTAACGTGACACCTTTTTAGCTGACCGAGATATAACAACGCGTTACATATCATTTAAAAGCCTAAATTTCATTATTTAAGGGGATATAATGCTAAAATCTGAAAGTCCAATACACAAACACGCGTTTAGATGGTAAAGGTCGTTGCCTCCTTTAGCATCAACAGAAATGTAACTCAAATCCTTGATATGTGATTTACTAAAGATATCCCAATTTACAAAATTACCAATTCAACGATGCCCTTACCATGACTGAAAAACTCTTAGTTTGAAAACGGAGCTGATTATATAAACAAATTCTGTAAGACAAAACTTAGATCAAATGAATAAACGCAATCATTCATAGGTTGGAGGTTCTAATTAGTTCTGGTAAAACCTTTCTCTGAGATAATATATGAAGCGTTACGTAACTATTACGTAATAAAATAAAGAGATATAACGAGATGAAATGCAAAGCAGTTGAAATAAGCTTTTTCTATTGATATGCAATATGTTGGTGAAGGTTGGTCGGTTAAGAAGATAGACACATTTCTGACCACACTGCCATGCTCCCCCCTTCCCCCGTCTGTAACCTTAAGTTTGGAAACTATTAATAGTTTTTAACTGAATAGTTTTGAAAAACAATTTATTTGACGACATAACTTCGAACTTCGATGGCTTACATGGCATAATGTTTTGGAACCTGTTCTTTAGTTTGTTCTCTCGCTTTTGGCCGGCTTCACAGGGACAAACAAATACGGTAGGGAATTTCTGAAAAAGTTTTGGGTTTCTTTAATATTTGTTTATGCACATGCAGTGAATTGATATCAGTGACAGGCTGCACACACTTCACTTTCTTTTCTTAATTTACATTGTTCGATCACAGTTATGAAAAGTGAGACGTGGACACAATTAAAGCGTGTTATATCAATCGAAACACTGTTTTGTACCTGAGAGGTTCACTTACTTATTTTCTCATTGCTTGACGCATATCAAAGATGAACCAGTCCAATTGAAAACATTTAACGCAGCCACACACATACGGTACCTGATATTCAGCCTTAAGAACATCTCTTGTTTTTAATTTCATGACCTCAAAAATGTCCTCTACAGGGATTTCTGTGCTTTGATCAATATTGCCATAGAGATGCTCGTCGTCGGTATTTTCATTCATATTTTCTCTCGGCAATTCTTCTACGAGTTCATCTGAAGCGAAAAAAGTTAAATCAGAAATATTTTGGGTTTCCCTTGGAAAGCAGTATTAGGGTCCTTACAGCACATATTTACTAAATGTTTATTACCTTGTTTTCCTTGCAGTTCAGAAAATGCGTCAACTTCATTAGAGTTGTTAAGGTGCTGTCTTCTGCAAGATATATAAGTTTACCTATGTCAGTGATATTTGGACATGGTCATGATTCTCATGCAAAGAAACAAAGCGAAATAATAAAATTGAGTGTATTACCTTTACATGTAGTTGTTACACTGTGAATAAATGGTACACGCAATCGTATCTACTGAGTATGACCACTCGGTAAGATGCTTTTTTGTCGCATACACACATGCATATAATTTCACTTACGTTAGCTTAAGTAATAGTGTATATCCTAATCTATATAAATTTACCTCTTATATATGACAATTACAACCACAACTACCGCCGCTAGGACCACAACCCCCAAGACACCCCCTGCTGCAGCGCCACCATTTATACCTGTGACATGGGCCGGAGTGGCTAGGAAGGAAGAAGATACTAGGTAGGAAAGCGGTTTATTAACGTTCAAGTCCTTGGAACATTTCTAAATAAAACACCACACATTGGAAGAATAAAGACTTTATTCTAAACCATGTACAAATTAGTTTGCAAATTATAGCACTTAAAACATACAAATAAGTGATGCTTGCAAACAGATGCCACGCAAAATCTCTCTACGATACTGAATTCAGTTACGTTTAATTTGGCTGTTAAAAGTGAGATACCTTTCTCTTGGTTCGTTTTTGCCTGTATTTGGTCGCTATACTCGCCGTGGCCGACAGTAGTTTTGGCACGGATCTGTAATGAAAAAATGTTCAGAATGGGAAATATATGGAGGTAGAGGAGAGAAATAACGCGCATCAACTTATTTTTTATAAAATACATTGGAAGCAATCACTTTTTCGTTTACAGTAACGTGGATTCAGTATGAAATTTACTTACTCGAATCATGTAAGTGGAATTTAATTGTAAACCGCCAATAATATGTCTATAGATGTCTGCAGTAGTCGTTATTATTTCCCACTGGTCGGATTGTTGAGTGTATGATATCTCGTAACTGATGATAACGCCACCTGGAGGGGACGGCGCACGCCATGTAATCTCTATGAAGCTGTCTCCAGTAGATGTCACCTTTGGTGCCTCCATCTTTGCTGGAACTGTAATACAAAGCAATAGTACTTTCCTTAAGTCTCCATCACCTCATTCCCTGGATATAACAGTCAAAAGCTCACAGTAATTTTGCTATAGAAATAACAATATCATTACCATTCTCAGGAAAACTGTTCACTTACATATACAATAAAAAATCTATTGTCTGAAAGAAGACCTTACTCCCTTCAGCTGTAGTATGCATCACTGTCACTGGTGGCCCTTGCAGTAGTAAGTTGTTAACTGCTGTCAGGTAGATGGTGTATTTACTATATGTTGTGAGGTTGGTAATGGTAATCGACTGCGTTTCTTTGACATGCAGCACATCTGCCGTGCCAATGTGATTGAATTCTCCCTCATATCGCACGGTTAACTTTGCAAACCCGTCGCATCTATGGATATCTCGGTTCATTCCCTATATCCAATATATAACATGTATCTTTCAAGACAAATAAATAGGGGTTTATAGCTGACACCCTGTGTATAAATATTGTATATTAAATGTGTGTGTGTTCTTTTAATATTTATGATACAAGGATAATATTTATGATACAAGGATACAGGTATGTTTCTTATATACAGGTACATATTAATTCAACCTCAATTATAATGCATTTGAAAGATATGTGATTTTCCTGAGTCAATCATGCCAAATATTACAAGAATCGCCACAGATTATCTTAAACGTCCATTTTCATGACGACATAATTTATTAAACATGAAGTGACATCAAAATACAATGTGACCTATTTTCAAAACATTAAAAAAAGGCATGGTGCGGTTAATATTTGGTGATATACAAACCGTTATATTTAGCTCTATGTAAGCAGATCTTTTCGATGAGGCAAGAAGAGAACGGACGTTTGGTTTTGGTGGTGCCACGGGAACTGAAAAAATATCAACTGCATTAAACTGCCTGAAATATTTGACATCCTTTAAATATTACAATGGATTTTTGTAGTTGGTTAAAAGTGTGATCCAAACGGTTGCAAAATCAAATTATTATTAAGGCAATTCGCTATAAAATCTATACACCTTACCTCCACATGTTCTTGTGGTGGTTGCTGGACTAGAAAAACCATAATACCCTGCTTCATTCGTGATGGTTACAGTGATATTGTACTCTGTGTACATAGAAAGATTATTCACAGTGGCTGTATGGTTTTCCGGTGGTACTGTTACACTGCCGTGTAGGTATATCCACCGCCAAACTCTAACGACGTAGCTGTGAAGAACCCCAGAGCCGGGCTTGGATGACCATTTTTGCCAACTAATGGTGAGTGAATCTTGTGTCCTTGATGACATATTCGGTGCTGTGGTGAGATGCGGGAGTGATGACGTATCTGCAAAATAAATAAAAATAAAGATACAGAGGATAGGCCAATGAATGAAGACAATTGAAAACGGTCCAATTGACCTGGAACATCCTTATCCATGGAAGACGTAGAAATGCAAATATGTATTTCAAGTATATATGTCAGATCCCTGGAGAATCATTTTAACGTAAGAATTGGCATACTTTTCTGAGACAAGGATCGTCACATACCCACTTGACATGTCCCATTTTTCCCGTGCCAGCCTTCAGCACAGCCAGATATACAGACTCCATACACGGGATGACACTGTTCATCGGTATTTCTACAATTACAGCGATTTCTGCATTCGGGACCAAAGTTTTTATTCTTGCAATCTAAAATTAAATATATGCTGTTATCTGTACAAAATACGTTGTATGATCGAAATCATGACAATTGCATGTTTTTACACCCTTTGATATAGAAAGCACAAAATAAAACATTGTACCTGTAATAACCAATTTCGTATGAACTCTTGAACAGTTAAACGTGTATCGAAATGCATCTCGTAGATTTCAAATTTCAAGAAGACTTTTAAGACTTTTAAGTCTTCTTGAAATTTGAAGTCTACGAGATTATAATATATTATAATATGTTATTCCATGAAACTAAATGCAGGAAGACCAAATCGATGGACCTAATATTCACCAAAAACTGAAATCTAATATTCAGCACATTTTCAATAAAAAGTGAATGCGTAGAAAATGTCACTTGGTCACTTGCTGGGTATAACTTTAACTGGGGTGAACACGTTAAATTTTGTATTCAGAGACGTGTTCAAAGCATTTTATTTCAGCCAACTTCAAAGAACAAAGTTTTTATAACAGTTTACCAATCAATAATAAGATCAGCCTTACAATTCAGAATAGTAATGAATTTGGGTTATTTATTACACGGTAGAAAGCTTTTAAGAGGGAATAACGAATTTAAAGTTCCATTAGATAAGAGTAATCATTTACTGAATTATTTCATAAATTAACATCTTAAGAAAAGACTAGCCTATGCTAATTCTAAAGGGATAGTATAGTATGATTCGTAAAAGACCCATATTTCAAAATAAATAAATCTGAAACAACTCATAGTATTGATACAATTACCTTCGTAAAGAAGTAAAATATTTAATTTGTTTAAAACTTACCTCCATACCTGTACCCTTTAATAATCACTTCACAGAGTATTAAAGGTGCCGTGTACTGCAGCTGGACAATCACGACTTGCCCAATATATGGCACTATGCACGGCAATTCTATACTTCCACCACTGGGCACTTGAGTGTCATGCAATGCACATACGTCTCCGCTGTCGGTATCTGTACTGTTACGTACCAATACTTGAATATTTTTTAACTTTTTACCGGCTAAAAGTTAATACAGAGATACAGCAAGTGGATGCATGTACGTACATGTGGGGTATAATTGATACCTGTATAACGTTACATGATACAAGATAAATATAAAGCATTCTCTAGATATCTTTCTTCATTTGATTTTTTTATTACTGATTGACAAACATACAGGGTCAGAGTTGTTTCACAGCATGCAATGGCTAACATATAGAGGGCACGGTGCGCACGTGGGCCTCTCTTTATTTTATGGCGCCCCCTTCTCCCACCCCAAAGGTAAACGGTATAAGGAACGAAATGGGAAAAAAACAAGCACTTTACATATGAAGTATTGGAAACTTGGCTTCCTTCACTGTGTTATATACGAGTATTTGCCGAACGATCAATTGCCCAGCCTGACAAACTTTGCAAAACGGTGGATCTTCTAGTGTATATATATATACATGTAAGCAGAATCAAGGATAATTTGGAACAGGATCAGGATATTTAACAGTATAAAGTTAGATAAAACGTTTCTTTATTGTGAATCCATATATACATGTATATGACTTATGAAGCGTTTTCCAGACCATTTTAATGACCTTTTTAAATGTAAATGATCTGGGGTACTAGACATGTCTAATTTGAAGGGATGGCGAAATAGACCGCATCTTAAATGTGTTGAAAATGACAAACCTGCAAATGTGTGTGTGTGTGTAGGGGGGGGGGGGTATTGTGTTTTCACGAAAACAGCGCCAATGTTAAAAATCACAAAATAAATTTGTTTGTGTTTAGTTTACCATCAGTATACGCGTAAAACACTATTCGGTTGACTAAAATGTATTTTGAGTGTGGGTGTTTATAGTTTCAGCGCCATAAAACAGGCGCACGCACGCACGTGCACAAACACTCAAGTCTGTACGATTGTTGACACCAGTACAACGGATTCTAATGACAAAAACTCCTCAAGACGCATACTTACAGTCACTAGTATCGCCTCTGTTAAATAGCGTTACACTGTAAACCACGTACTTCTGGCCCAGGTCTACACGCCACCAGGGGGATAGTGTTTCATTTGTGTGAGTGCACGACCCAACCCAGAAATATTTGTTCACATTCCCGTCTATAGCATGACTTGCAACTCCACCAGCGGCCACACTGGTTTGATTTGCTGTTTTTCCAAGAGCGACATTATCTGAAATTCAATATATGACCTACAGTTTCTTCATCAGTAAGTTAATACATTTGAATGTTTATCACTTCCATACCATTCATCAGTAACATACATTTAGATGCACATACAGGTTATTTAAACCTCTAACTGTGTATGCATCTAATTCCTTGTGTATATTATATGATAAAAGTGGTTGTTTTATTATTTGCAGTTCATTATAAACAGAAAGGGCGAAAATCTTCAAAAATCATGTATCTAGCATGTATATATTAAATCAATTTAAAAAAAAACAATCATTCTGGTAATATTTCTTCTACACAAAATCGACTTACAAGGATACATGTAGCCCCTAACAATGATTTCACACAACCGCAATGTTTGATCTCCAGTTTTTCGTAACTTGATGTAGCGCGCCAAGATTGGTGGATGTATATCGTACTCTAACACTGCAGTTGAACACTGTTCATTAGGAACAGATACATCTCTGCATCCAGTATCCGATGCCGTGTTGTTGTTAATGCAGAGCTGGACACCTTGAAAGTGGCCTGGTAAAACGATAGGAATTTAATATATTTTCTATATACCATCTAGACAGACGCAGCCCTTACTGGTAAATAAATAAGTGAAATGCGACAAAAAAGCATTATTAAAGCAAATTACATATCCATGATGTCAAACTTACATATGTCAGCAAATGTTGTGGGTTTTATCAATACAACTCTACGAATTACATATAACCCCCCTAGGTCCACACTCCAGGTGGGCTTGTCCTGTGAATTCGTTCTTATACATTTCAGGTCATCAGTGCTGTTGTCTCCGTCCACTGCAAGATGTGGTGGATAACTTACGCCTTCGCTACCATTAATATAAGAACTTGACTGTGTGGCATGCTTTCCATAGGCTAAGTTGATATTTTCTAGAATGAAAATGACAACAATTTTCAGTGAAATTGTTTAAGGTAATATTGACTTAATACACTCATATAAACAAACTTTCTGTAAAGGTTTTTTTCCAGAAATAACTGTCTTTACTGTAGGTACCGGATTGTGTGGCTGGCTTTCCGTAGGCAATATTAATATTTTCTGGCAGAAATGGAGACTATGCACAGGATTGACCTTCATACACAAAATAAAGAAACTTTGCTGAAATCATTTTTTTCACAAAAATATACAGTCATTATACGAGATGCTCTACCACAACCCAGTGCCGCATCAAGGGATCCGTTTTATGCCGAGGTCTTTAAAATATAACTTCTACCTAATAGCCCAATACATAAGATCTCTTAAACCCCATGCACTCACCATCATGGCATCCTATTCCCCAGGGGTTGTCCACACAGTGTTCAGGACATATTCCTAGAGTCCGTCGACATGTCTCTCCTTGTTTACAGAAACACCCAGTTGTTGTGTTACACTGCCAGCCAAAGTAACCGTCACCTTCCATACAGCACAGACATAGGTACACTGGTGAAAGAAAGAAGTAATAACCAGCAAAAGTTTCACTCTACATACAGCAAACAAGCCACCTCCATCTTTTAACGTTAAATAATAACACAATCATTATGAACAAATCGTGCACAAAGTGGAAAAATGTGCATCCAACGCCAAATGTGCAGTTGCACTATCCATCAAATACTTACGGACACTGCAAACTGCCTCATTATTATAGTGGCGAGTTATACATATAATTGGCGAATGCTAATCTATAACGAACAAGAATTGATAGTATATGCTTATGTCTTGCCTTAAATTATAACTGTCGGGGCTAAAATTGCATTATAATATTTTTATTCATTGATCCATGTTTTCGGGTTCTATTCAGTCATTTCTGCTTTACATTATTTTTACTACCGTCTTTTTGATACTATTGTTCTCCCTCCTCCGACCACACACCTGATTTGAAAACGAAACCTGGCCATGTTTATATAATTCACGTTTACTTCCTCGTCGTGTCCTGGCCTGGAATATACTGTGGGATCCCTAGTTGTCAAAATCCATTGAAATGCTTACGTCTAAAAGAGGTCTGGGTTTAGCAACTAAAATATAATCACGGACCCGGTCAAGCAACGCCCTGTTTTCAAATCATATTTTTTAACGTAATTTACAGACACAAATACGGATTTTAAGATACTGAATATAAAGTGAAGTGAAGTACTTGTATGTTAACGTTAATTGACAGTGCGACAAGTATTTTTTCCTCATTTAAACCACTAAGGCAGAACCCACAGTTTGGTTAAGGAAAAGGAAGCCCGGGTCCGCCTATCTATAGTAGTCAGAAGTCATTTCATGAAGGTCAACATATCAATGTATTGTTGAGGATAGAGCGCACTGTAAATACACCCTACATGTACTGAGAAAATTCATTTGTTCCATTTTACACAACACAGAAGCTTTGCCTGTAAGGTCCGACATTCTTTCTGCGATTTTCATTAAATCCCTTCGGGTCACCACAGCGTGTACACCACTATAGTATGAAAGAGCAGACATACGTCACAGTTACCAAAAATACACGTTAACAAGACGGTTAACAGCAATAGTACTCAAACTATAGCTTTCTTATTATTTTGAGATAATGTCTGTCATTTTATATGTAATAATTCGTCCGGTTTACCTGTTAAAAATATCATCCAAACAACCAGGAAGCAAGTTATCCTGGGCAGGGCAGCCATTTCTTCCTTTACTACAGTTGACACATACCTTAGCGCACTGCTGTTGTGTTACCGGTATTGTACCTCGGGTCGATTGATATAAAAAGATTTCTTTACGCTCTAGAGGATAAAAATGTAAAAAAAAACATACTCAGTGACGTTGCTTTTTGGGTTGGTGGTTAAGTTGAAATCCGACGTTAAGTAAATAAATATTTTTGGGGCTTCGAATTCCCGTGTCTGCTATGAGACTCAGTGCATACATTGTTTTAATAACTTTAGCGTACATATGTAACTTGAACGAAGCATATTGTAACCTAGTTGCGTTTTTTTTAATTTAATTGGTTAGATGTGGATTTTTTCGTGAGTTAGAGCAGTAAACACCTTTTTATTTTTCGCAAGGTCAGAATTCATTCACTGCATTATCTATGAACCTTGTCATGAAAATGAAGAATTGTGGATTTCGATATCTAATATGAAAGCACATATACCATTGTGCGTTTTCTTTACATTTCATGCACATCCAACCTTAAGTGAGGTCAGTGAATTTCACGCACGTGGCCCATAGAACAGTAACGTGGTCATCTGAATTAGTTCATTTAATTAAATATAAAACATATCTTTTGAAAAAAATAGCGCTAGACTCTAATCAACAGTCCGAGTATATAAAGGGGAAGTTTTATCACACACAAAAATATAGGAAAAATGCCTTGTGCCCATTATTAGGGAAACTCAGTTCTACAGCAAGGTGCTATATGATATGTATGTAAATTAACTCTGTCCATCCTGGTAAGTTCTCACGGAAAAATATTCTCTGTTCACATGGGTTAACATAACATTATTTCATGCATGTACATAACATCTAACTATCTTGCTTTGTATCCTTTAATGTTTGAAAATTGCAAGAATCTGTTACAATGACAACGGTATTAATGTAGGCACATCGCTATATGAAGAAAATACATATAGTAAGTATGGATTACTTAGTTTGAAAACCATAATGACTAAATTATTCTGAATGCTGGGTTTTCTCAATACACAATTGATTTTATAACTCGATGGCTTTAAGATGCTGTACATTGTAGGCACATTAGTTTCAATCTCTGGAGTATGCAGTCACATGTATTGCTGCTGTTATATGGGACACAGTCATTAATTGGTATTGTTGGGTATCCAAAAAGTAAGCAATTTCAATCAAAGTTTTCTGTGACTGGGTGATACTTTCCATTCCTGCTAGCTCACTCGTATCTTTCAAAGAATTCGAAGCATGTTTTGAAATGGACTATATCACCCATACCGGTGAGCTAGCTAACTACACACGTGCTGGTGGTTATTCATCTCAGTCGTGATCTAGGTCAGTGTTGATCCAAAAGAAAAAATGTAACCTTTAAAGGTGTTTAAATGTTCCTTAGGATCCCATTGCTCCATAAACTGACTGACTACAACTGCTCAAGTGTCACAGTTTTGATGTTGGTGAATTGTACATGTACCCGCAGCTGCCCCTCTGCTCAAAGAAGCGATAATCAAAGTTTTTATTTTCCTTCATTGAAAGCCACTGATATAAATATCACTGCAGTACTTTCCCCATAAAATAAGATAACTTTTAAAACATATAACTCATAATTTCTATTTCCATGGCGGTAACTGCTTGGTTACGATTGCAGGTTCACTCACAAGCCTACATCTGGAGGTTAACGTGCGTGTCAAATTTACGGACGTATTCTTCAACCACATCGTAGCAAAATACATACTGTTCCTATAAAACGAAACACATGCTAAATACATATACAATTATGCGTCTATAGATAAATCAGGTTCAAAGAAAATGAATGATTGATATGTATGTGTAATATTTTGAAAAGCTGTGTATTGTAAATTAGGGCACTTTATTTCTATCAAAGCGTCTTGTGTTTACTGGCGGTCTCAACTTACAGTGTGAAGGTACATGTTTATCACCAAAATGAGACACGTATTGTTATCACGTTACCTTGCTATCGATCAGCTGTGGTCTGTTTTGTCTGACAGCCTTCACCGTGTGGAAGACATCCACTTCTTGCTCCACCTTCAGCTTGTCCAGTATGCGAGCCACGGCACAGAACAACCCGCTCTGGTGGGCACCGTTCCTTTATTATTAAAAAAAAGATTAAATGACTTTCGGTATGCTCAGTTGATAGAAAATTGCTGACTAAACATTAGTGACTATGCAATAATGACTATACAATATTGTTTATTGAATTAAAGGTTCAACAGAAAGGGCAGAAAAATGACGTTAGAATTACACTTACGTGTATCATATTAAATTAATATAATTTTATCTGGGTGGCTGTAACAACTCACATGCAGTGAACAGTTATGGGAGTGTCTCCACTTTTCCTTTGCCATTGCTGAACAGCATCAAACAGCTCAAGAAACGCACGCGGTGATGGCGGCACTGGTTTTGAAGTCATCCAGTCGTGAAACTGGAATTGGCATACTTTTCTTGCGGAGCCCGAGTGCTATAAAAGTTGAAGGAAAATAATAGTGATAACAGCGTTTGTTATATTCATAGTAAATCCCTTTTAAATGGGCGGTTTTATTTAAGATTAACACTCCATTTGGGATACCTATGTCAATATTCCAATACGATAGAACAGAAATATATAGCCTTTTTTATTCAGAACGCGTAACATCATAGGTTGCTGTCTCAAGTTTGAAGAGAACCCGTCGTCTTCTTGCCTGAGCTTAGATCATTATTACAAACGGTTACATAATTATGGAAATCGTACTCACATCCTTAGAATTGGTAACCCTCAACTCATTAACGGTGATACATTTCCCGCTCTGGCACGTAGAGATCATTTCTACATTAAAAGGACCATAAGAGGTCACTTTCTCCGTTGGCCAGTACACACCACTTGTCTGAGGAAATCAACAACTCAGGTGTATTAGTGGTGTTATCAGGCAAAGAAAATTTACGCCTTTTGTTGAGATAAATGGAACTTTGTATTTTAAGACGATGTTAATGTAGTATGAATTTGTAAAAATCAAAAATAAGCTTAAATGTCAGCTATCATTTTAATATGACGCAAACATCGCCTCTATTCTCTAGAATATTATTCTCTCGTCAGTATCTGCAGCCTTTTACCTTGGTATCGTTGCTACATTCATTCAGCATAACTATAGTCGCACATTGCTGGTCATACAACATACTCCAGAAGTCAACGACTGTATGAGGCAGAGGCATCTGAGTCACGATGTAGGCATTTTGGCACTGGTTTCCCTAAACATTGTTTTTAATATTTTAGATTGTCGCACATACAAATACATAAAACAAAATATCCGTATATTTAGGAAAGCAATGGGTTTAAAATAATTAAATACAAATAACATATTAACTTGAACGAATAGAATGGGTAACATACAATTGAAATCCACTTTCAACATTTTGGGGACCATACATGTACAATGTCTAAACAGAATGTTGCACTTTTTATGAGTAAAATACTTAAACCATACGTCTATGAACACCGCATTAATGTAATCAGTGCTGTCCTCCGCGTATGATGTAAGGTGTGGTCTGCAGTGGTTACCTTAATATTAAAACAGACAAAATAATTCATTTGTTTTATAACAAAAGTCATAATTCAACAGTATGTTAACGTGGTTTAACACAAACATCCTGCGATACGGAGAGTATTTAAGCTATTACCAAAATTAGGGAAAACAAGTACTATGAAAAGACACCTCAAAATGCATTATCCGTTGAATCATATTAAACACTAGAGAACTCTATGTGCAGACGCAAAAATAAAAAGACAAATAGGTTCAGCAAATTGCCAAAACACAAAAGCGTGTTATTAAAAACAAAAATATCAAATGATAAGCGAAGTTATGTACGGTGAGGCAGGTTTGAAGTGGTTTAAAACTTACCTGCTACAATATTAGTCACTCTATTTTTGCCAATGTTGATGGGCTCCAGGGCAGTCTTTGTGGAACTTTCTTCTATTTCAGGCAGCATGAGGCCCAGTACCTGGTCAACAAAAAAAACTAACACATTACACTTACATATACAGTTAATTATGGGTGCGTCTCGCAAACAGTTGAATTTTCAAAACCACCCACAAAATTTAACTTATGTTATTTAAAACTTACTCCATCATTCAAAATTAACAAACATTTTGTCCGTGACTTACAGCAAACTCTTCTTCCATTTTGGTCAGCCCAGTCTTGTTCCTTTGCCTCAGTTTTCGCAAACGAGCCTCAAGATCCTGTAGTCTTATGAAGGTAATGCCACAATGCAGCTCTTCCAACAATGTGTCATGTATGAAGTAATATTGCTCCTGAAACAAACAGACCGAGGTCATTTCTAATACATCAAATACCAGCCAGCGATATTTCAACAAAACATACCTTGTACCAGAAACGAAATATTGACATCGTTACAATTGTAGTATAACAGTGTGTTCTACTGTTACAATTACGGCAACTCATTGTCAAACCACGTTACACCAAATAAGGTAATACGGTACTTCACACACTGCATAACCACATGTTTCTGTATACAATTAAGTTAAAGGATACCGAGTGACAATTTTTGCCGTAGACTATAGTAAGATGAAATACCTTTGTCTGTACCATTTTCGGTCGAGATGCTCGCAATGACTGAACGAGACCGAAAACATCGACCTTTCCCTCCGCCAGCGCTTCTTCAAACAGATAGTCCAGTGCGATGAAAGTTCCAGTGTTTCCAACCCCGTCGCTAAAAACAGGAGATAATTATATATATAAACTTATGATTATAGCAATTCGTCAACCCTAGCCTCTTCGTTTGAATATACGGCACGATATCTGCTGTCATGTTTTATGAAGCGATTTTAGTGGTAAAAAAAATCCACTGATTAATGTAATATGCAAATCGTCATTAAAATATAAAAAGTCTAGTTAAATGTTGATTAATTCTTCCAAACCAACGTAGTAAAATTGCCTTTCACCTGCAATGAACAACAACTGGTCCTTGGTCCTCAACTAGGATTTCATGCTTCTCAACTTCCTCTCGGAATTTAACCAAAGCTGTCGGGTCAATAGGTACGCCGTTATTTGGCCAACCAGTAAAGTGGAACTGTTTTACACTATGGACTGTCGGATGGCCTACCTTCAGATGAAGAATAATATACCAAGGCTTAAGACATTTTGGACGTTTGTCTTCAATAAAATCAATCACCTACTAGCATATGTACATGCATACAAAAACACGTGGCAGAATAGATAAGTCAGTTGGATATATAGGTCTATGAATGTTCTACTTACTTTACAATACTGCAGATTTCTCACAAAAGAGTCCTTTCTTTGGACTTCATCTAGCGTTGTCACTTGTATTTCGCCAAACTGCTTCATTCCCTCGTCTGCCCAGTACTGCTCACATTTTTGCTGAAGTATAAAGGGTTATTATTATTAGGTCTCATATTGAAATACATCACATATACAAGAATATATACAATATACAGTTCCATTTTAACGCATCGTTTACTTTGTCTTACTTACATATAAAAAAAAAATTTGAGCTCTTTCAGAACAGCAGACTAAATGTACATTAAGAACACATGATCCGTGAACTAACTGATCGGCTGACTAAATGTGGCCGACTCCACTAAAAAGCGATGCCGATAATTTCCTGATGATCTCCACCCGTGCCTAAAACAGATAAAAGCTCGATTGGCTCCTAGGTTTCATTGCCCTGCAGGCAATTAGTCGGTCATATTTAGTCGGCGGATCAATTAGTCCGCGGATCAACTTGTTTGAATGCCCTCTAAAAGATCCGCGGATCAAATATGGCCCAGCCACTTGAATGCTTGCTGTGTAATCCCCGCGAGGTATCTACTAATCGGGATTTAAGCGGCAGGCTTTTAATGGGTCGCAATATTTGGTCCGCAGATCTGTTAGACTCGCTGTTCTGTATGCGCTCTATGGGATTAACATACCTTGCCCATTTCTACAGTTTTCGTCAACATTATAATTTGTGGAGACTTGACTTGCCATATCATCCGCCAGAAGTCGTTTACGGTGTTCGATTTTGGACCTATTCAAAAAAAAAATCACTTCCATGCTAGTATTTTTATTAATCATTACCTATTATTACTTTTTCACATCTATTTTCCGGTGTCACAACTGAGTAATAGCGAAACATACTTGTAGACGGAACTGTATTAGGATTTATAAATATGTTGGATTTTAATATGTGTGTGTGTGTGTGTGTGTGTGTGTGTGTGTGTGTGCGGGAGAGAGAGAGAAGATGTCGCTCGAGAAAATAAAATTACCCTGTGCAGCAATGAATGCTCGTGGCCTATTATATCCCTGCAATTGGAAAATGCAATTGTCAAAGTATGACTTTTAAATGTGAAATGTAGCAAATTCTAAAATCAATGATACATATTAACGCATGACACAAATCAAACTTATATATACTGTCCCTGGTTAACACGTGGCAATAACGATACACTTTGGTCCGACAGATATACAGTACTCGGTATTATGATAGCAGCATGTAAAAAGAATGCATTACGTATGTAAATAACTCACATCAATAAAGTTTGCGTTGATGTAGTCAGAGTTGGGATCATCTGGCAAAAGGTCCAGTACAACTCGGCTATGGTCGTCTGAAGGAAAATAAACAGTTCATAAATAATGAATATGAACGGATTTAGAAATTAAACCAGTTTGATCTTTTACCATGTATATATAATGTATGGCAAAACGATGAATGGGATCAGACATACAAACCGTTATTATACGCACTAATAAATATTTTAAAAAATATATTATAAAAGTATTATTTTTAGAAATTTTCAGTTTCAATGGCTTACAAGGAATGATGTTCCTGAACCTGTTCTTAAGTTTGTTTTCTCGTTTTTGGCCGACTTCACAAGGGTTTTTCAGTGTGATAGGGAATTTCTGAAATAATTGTTAAATGTGTACACTGATATTATAAACATTCATGTAGGCTACAATTAATCTACTCCAGTTAACTGTCCTGCCTGCTTACCAGTATAAATATTGCACACATTTTATTGATCAATAAATAAAACAATTAAAGCATAGTTTTGTAAATAAAGCAGTATTAGGGCTCATTCTAAAAGAAACTATTGCTGTATGTAGATCGAGCAAATACCGCGTGGACTCATGCCGAATGCAATAAAATTTACAGATTAACACGTCTCCTTCAATATTCACAACCACAGTTTATCAACCGTCTCACCTATGTTAATTTTAATGCCATTATTGAAGCTTCTACGTTTATCATATTTAGTCCTCCATCTTTTATTTTTCTGCATAATATTTCCCTTTTTTAATTTTTCCGGCTTACCTTTACAAAAAAATCCAAAGATAAGCTTTTTTAGCTCCGTAATTATTTGGTTAGATGGGTTAGGCAGTGAAATAAAAAGATGGTTAAATTTCGATATTATGAGACTTTTAATTACTGTAATTCTGCCTACGGGGGTCAAAATTCGTCTTTCCCATAGTTTAAGTAATCGTTCAGTACTTTCAATTTTTTCCCGATGATTCCTTTCACATACAGTATCTAGTTCAACATAGAATTTAATACCTAAAAATTTAAAAGACGTTGCTCCCTGTATTAGTGTCCAATTTTGGCACAGTTTCTCATTTGAATTTTTTACTCCCTATCCAAATAACCTGAGTTTTGTCATAATTTATTTTTAAACCCGAATTTTTTTTCAATCCATCTTAGATCCTGTAGGGAGGCGTTAAGGGACTGTTCAGAACCATCTAAAATTATGGACGTGTCATCTGCATATTGCCATATCTTGTATTCATTTTCCCCGATTTGTATTCCTTTAATTTGAGGGTTATTCTTTATGCTTACTGAAAGAATTTCAGAACACAACAAAAATAACAAAAATAAATATGGTGATATCGGATCACCTTGTCTCAGGCCACGCTGTGGTTGAAACAAAATGTTGATCTGATTGCATTCAGGGAGAGTTCCCGCAGAGATAGATCGATATACGTACTATAATTTAATTGGGAAAGAACCCTTACATTGGCTATATGTGGCCACGTGTTTTTACATGGTACTTTTTTGCTAAATGTATATTAAAACTGGACTGTATGTCCTAAAGAAACTTGGACAAATCATACCTGATGTTCATCGTGAAGAATATCTTTGGTTTTCAATTTCATGACCTCATAAATGTTCTCGACAGAAATTTCTGTGCTTTGCTTGATGCTGCTATAGAGATGTTCGTCTTCCGTGTTTTCATACGGAACTTGAACCGGAGATTCATATACATGGTCATCTAGATCTGAAGATATAAATTCAAAAAGAGGACACAATAAGATCATCTGCATGTATAATGAAAGTTGTTGGGCAGTATACATGTAGTAGGTGTTAATATTTACCTTCTTTTCTTTGCAATTCAGAAAAGGTCTCAAATTGATCAGGCTCTTGAGGGCGTCGCCTTCTGCAAAACAAGTCTATTTGTAGATGACTCAATACCATGTGTTGGGCCAGATTTACAACATATAATTTTACTGTATCACATCGTTATCTAATTTTACAGTTTTTTAGAGATCCATAGTACATACATGCAAACTTTGCTCTATGTATACTAAGATTATGAAGTCTACCTCTTGTACATGAAAAATAAGACCACAAAAATGCATAATAGCGTCTTTTTTTAATTTACATTTTGTTTATTTAAGTACTTACTGTCGTAATCTACACATGTTTACCTGTTGTATATGACAACTACAACCACAACTACCGCCACCAGGACCAGAACCCCCAACACACCTCCTGCTACAGCGCCACCATTTATACCTGTGACAGGGACAGGAGTGGGTAGGAAGAAAGAAAGGATTATACAGGAAGGAAAACAGCATAAATGTAATAGGACACTTTCACCTTTAAATAAAACTCCAGTAATATATAGGGGGAATTTTACTTTGAATCTTAAACTTGAAGAAGTAAATGTGTAGCACACTGCCACACAAAATTCTCAAGGGGTATATGTACAGATGTAAGTATAATACTGACTATATAGTTTATTCTGGTTATTCGGCTGAATTGAGACGCCTTTTTCCATATTCGTTGTTGCCTGAATTGGATCACTATACTCGCCATAACCGACAGCAGTTTTGGCACGTATCTACAAAGACAATAATGCTCAGCATGAAAAATACCAGTACATGGAGGCATGGGAAGTGGGCTCACGTTGTACAGTGCTGCATCAAACTGCTTCATGACGATATTACGCCTATGGAGATTCTGTATGAAATATACTTACTCGAATCATGTACGTCGAATTGAGCTGCAAATCACCTATAAGTGTATTAGTAATGTCTGTCTCAGTCACAATTTCATTCCTCTGACTGGATTGTTGAGTGTACGATATCTCATAACTGACGATAACGCCACCTGAAGGGGACGGCGCACGCCATGTTATCTCTATGAAGGTGTCTCCAATAGATGTCACATCTGGTGCCGCCATCTTTGGTGGAACTGTAACACAAAATAATAATGTTTCACGAAAAGTTCTCATCAGTTTGTTGTCTGCAAAAGTTACTAAGTTCATATATGCATTGAAGAAATAATATAACTTCCGTGTAAAGTGAAATAAACAATGTTTTTTTTTATCATTTTAATACATGTAGGCTTAACCAGAACTTAAGAAATTGTACACACAGGCTCCTATCATGAGACTTTCTTGAAATTATTTGGAAAGCTTACCCCCTTCAGCTGTAGTATGAGTCACTGTCACTGGTGGCCCTTGCAGATGTAAGTTGTTAACTGCTGTCAGGTAGATGGTGTATTTACTATATGTTGTGAGGTTGGTAATGGTAATCAGCTGTGTTTCTTTGACATGCAGCACGTCTACTGTGCCAATGTGATGGTATTTTCCCACATATTGCACGGTTAACTTTGCAAACCCGTCGCATCTATGGACATCTCGGTTCATTCCCTATATCCAATATATAACATGTATCTTTCCAGATACGTATATCAGGGTTTATGGCTGAAACCCAGTGCAATATACCGAACTGAGCACAAAATATTTTGGACATATATAAATATTATATTTTTAACGTGTGTGTGTGTGTGTGTGTGTGTGTATGTGTGTGTGTGCGCGCGTGCGTGCGTGTGTTCTTTTAATATTTTTGAAACAAGGTTATGTTTCTTACATACAGGTACATATTAATCCAACCTCAATCATAATTTGTAACATCATCTATAATCATGTACCTATTATAATGTCTTTAAAAATTGTGGTTTTCCTGAGTCAATCATGCCAAAATATTCCAAGAATCGCCACAGATTATCTTAAACGCCCGTTTTCATGAAATCAGATAGTGACATCCAAATACAATGCGACTTATTCAATCTAATAAAGAAGGCATGGCGCCGTAAATAGTTAGTAATATACAAACCGCTGTATTTAGCTCTATGTAAGCAGATCTCTTTGATGAGGCAAGAACAGAATGGACGTTTGGTTTGGGTGGTGCCGTAGGTTCTGAAAATAAAACGGTAATTGCTTAAACACCTTAAATACTGGATTTCCTTTAAATATTACAATGGATTGTTGTAGTTGGTTTAAAGTGTGACCCAAATGGTCGCAAAATAAAGTAAATCACTATAAAATCTATACACCTTACCTCCACATGTTCTTGCGGTGGTTGCTGGACTAGAAAGACCATAATACCCTGCATCATTAGCAATGGTTACGGTGATATTATACTCTGTGTACATTGAAAGATTATCCACTGTGGCTGTCTGGTCTTCCGGTGGTACTGTTACACTGCCGTGTAGGTATATCCACCGCCAAACTCTAACGACGTAGCTGTGAACAACCCCAGAGCCGGGCATGGATGACCATTTTTGCCAACTAATGGTGAATGAATTTTGAGTCCTTGATGACATATTCGGTGCTGTGGTAAGATGTGGGAGTGATGACGTATCTGCAAAATTAAAAAAAAGATACGAATGAAGACAATTGAAGACGGTTTGGTTGACCTGGAACATCCTTTGCCATGAATGACGTAGAAATGCAAAAATGTATTTCAAGCATGTCAGATACCTGGAGAACAATTTAAACGTAATAATTGACATAATTTTTCTGAGGCCAGGATCATCACATACCCACTTGACATGTCCCATTTTTCCCGTGCCAGCCTTCATCACAGCCAGATGTACAGACTCCATACACAGGATGACACTGTTCATTTGTATCTCTACAGTTACAGCGGTTAATGCATTCAGGACCAAGGTGTTTATTCGCGCAGTCTAAAATATATATATATATATGCTGTTATCTGTACAAAACACGTTATACCATCGGAGGCATGGGTGTTTTCTTTGTTTGTCAAGAATTATTTTTAAATATCTTCGCGGCAATTGCACATTTTTACACCAGACCCTTTGATATAGAAAGCACAGAATAAAACATTGTACCTGTAATAACCAATTTTGTATGAACTATAGAACATGTAAACGTGTATCGGCATGCATCTCGTAGATTTCAAACTTCAAGACTTTATATATTATAATACGTTATTCCATAGAACTTACTGCAGCAAGACCAAATCGATGGACATCATATTCACCAAAAACTGAAATCTCATATTCAGCACAATATCAATAAATGGTGAATGCGTAGAAAATGTCACTTGGTCACTTGCTGGGTATAACTTTCACACCAGACCCTAAATGGGCTGAACACGCTTAATTTACGTATTTAAAGACATGTTCAAAGCATTTTATTTCAGCCAACTTCAAAGAACAAAGCTTTAATAACAGATAATCAGTCAAATTATACATGTAAGATCTGCCTTAGAATTCAGAATAGTGATGAATTTGGTCTATTTATTACATGGAAGAAAGCTTTTAAGAGGGAATAACGAATTTAAAGTTCCATTAGTTAAGCCTAATTATTTTCAGAATTATTTTATAAAGTACCGGCTTTACCTTTTTTAAAATGTTTAAGAAAAGACTAACCTATGTTAATTCTAAAAGGATAGCGTGATTAGTAAGAGATTCTTATTTCAAAATAAATAAATTGTTAACAACGCACAGTGATGATACAATTAGACTTGCCCTTCAAGAAATCGACGGAAAATAGCTCTTTTTCAAATTTGAATGGGCACTGTAGAAAACATATAACAGCTAAAGCTCTCAAATTAAGCACATATGTGTGATATCATGTGAAGAATAAGTTCTGTAAATTTCAATCCAAGCAGTTGAATAAATTTTGAGACAGAACGCTTTAAATGTGCAGCAAACCGTAACGCTAATCCCTTCAAGATCTCGACGAAAACCGGAAGTGCGTCATGACGTCACTCGCTTGTACTTGGAAAGCTGCTGGGTGATTTTCCGATGAGAAATATTTCATGGCTTATACAAATGTTCGGAAAATTACCATGCAGATAAAAGAAAATTCACTAATCAAAATTGAAACTGCGTAATTACATAGAAAAACATTGTGCATTTCTGACCTCGACTTGTCAGTGTAAACAAAGTGTACTGAACGCATCGCAAGCAAGCACGTGGATGCCGCGTTTGATACTCTGTATCAGACGCTTCATTTTACTTGACAACACAGTGTTTACGATGGGCATAACAGGAAAAACAGTGCAAAAAACACGCACTTCCGGTTTTCGTCGATTTCTTGAAGGCGTCTATTTCTTGAAGGGCGAGTCTACCTTCGTAAAGCAGTAAAACATTTAATTTGTTAAAAACTTACCTACATGCCTGTACCCTTTAATAATCACTTCACAGAGTACTAAAAATGTCGTGTACTGCAGCTGGACAATTACGACTTGGCCAATATACGGCACTATGCACGGCAATTCTATACTTCCACCACTGGGCACTTGGGCATCATGCAATGCACATACGTCTCTGCTGTCGGTATCTGTACTGTTACGTACCAATACTTGAATATTTTTTAACTTTTTACCGGCTAAAAGTTAATACAGAGATACAGCAAGTGGATGCATGTACGTACATGTGGGTTATAATTGATACCTGTATAACGTTACATGATACAAGATAAATATAAAGCATTCTCTAGATATCTTTCTTCATTTGATTTTTTTATTACTGATTGACAAACATACAGGGTCAGAGTTGTTTCACAGCATGCAATGGCTAACATATAGAGGGCACGGTGCGCACGTGGGCCTCTCTTTATTTTATGGCGCCCCCTTCTCCCACCCCAAAGGTAAACGGTATAAGGAACGAAATGGGAAAAAAACAAGCACTTTACATATGAAGTATTGGAAACTTGGCTTCCTTCACTGTGTTATATACGAGTATTTGCCGAACGATCAATTGCCCAGCCTGACAAACTTTGCAAAACGGTGGATCTTCTAGTGTATATATATATATACATGTAAGCAGAATCAAGGATAATTTGGAACAGGATCAGGATATTTAACAGTATAAAGTTAGATAAAACGTTTCTTTATTGTGAATCCATATATACATGTATATGACTTATGAAGCGTTTTCCAGACCATTTTAATGACCTTTTTAAATGTAAATGATCTGGGGTACTAGACATGTCTAATTTGAAGGGATGGCGAAATAGACCGCATCTTAAATGTGTTGAAAATGACAAACCTGCAAATGTGTGTGTGTGTGTGTGTAGGGGGGGGGGGGTATTGTGTTTTCACGAAAACANGAGGAGACATAAACGCTCTTTATTGTGAATCCATACATGTTTATGGCTTATGTAACGTTTTCCAGACCAGTTTAATGACATGTTCAAATGTAAATGATCTGGGTTACTAGACATGTCTAATTTGAAGGGTTGGCGAAATAGACCGCATCTTAAATGTGTTGAAAATGACAAACCTGCAAATGTGTGTGTGTGTGTGTGTGTGTGTTTTCACGAAAACAGCGCAACAGTTAAAAATCACCAACAAATTAATTTGTTTGTGTTAAGTTTACCATCAGTATACTTAGAACACTATTCGGTATACTAAAATGTATTTTTAGTGTGGGTGTTTATAGTTTCAGTGCCATAAAACAGGCTCACGCACGCACATGCACAAATACACTCAAGTCTGTACGATTGTTGACACCAGTACAACGGATTCTAATGACAAAAACTCCCAAGACGCATACTTACCGTCACTAGTATCGCCTCTGTTAAATAGCGTTACACTATAAACCACGTATTTCTGGCCCAGGTCTACCAGCCACCAGGGGTGTGCTGCGGTATCTGTGTGAGTGCACGACCCAGCATAGAAATTTTTATTCACATTCCCGTCTATAGCACGACTTGCAACTCCACCAGCGGCCACGCTGGTTTGATTTGCTGTTTTTCCAAGAGCGACATTATCTGAAATTTATTGACTGACCTACAAAGTTTCTTCATCAGTAAGTGTATACATTTGAATGTTTGTTACTTCCATACCATTCATACGTAATATACATTTAGATGCACATACTGGTTATTTAAACCTCTAACTGTGTATGCCTTTAATTCCTTGTGTATATTATATGATAAAAGTGGTTGTTTTATTATTTGCAGTTCATTATAAACAGAAATGGCGAAAATCTTCAAAAATCATGTCTCTTGCATGTATATATTAAATCAATTTAAAAAAATCATTCTGGTAATTTTTCTTCTAAATAAAATCGACTTACAAGGATACATGTAGCCCCTAACAATGATTTCACACAACCGCAATGTTTGATATCCAGTTTTTCGTAACTTGATGTAGCGCGCCAAGATTGGTGGATCTATCTCGTACTCTAACACTGCTGTTGAACACTGTGTATTAGCAACTCCTACAGCTCTGCATCCAGTATCCGATGCCGTGTTGTTGTTAATGCAGAGCTGGACACCTTGAAACTGGCCTGGTAAAACGATAGGAATTTAATATATTTTCTATATACCACCTAGACAGACGCAGCCCTTACTAGTAAATAAATAAGTGAAATGCGACACAAAAGCATTGCTAAAGCAAATTACATATCCATGATGTCAAACTTACATATGTCAGCAAATGCTGTGGGTTTTATCAATACAACTCTACGAATTACATATGACCCTCCTAGGTCCACACTCCAGGTGGGCTTGTCCTGTGAATTCGTTCTTATACATTTCTGGTCATCAGTGCTGTTGTCTCCGTCCACTGCAAGCTTTGCTGGATAACTCTCGCCTTCGCTACCATTAATATAAGTACTTGACTGTGTGGCTTGCTTTCCATAGGCTAAGTTGATATTTTCTAGAATGAAAATGACAACAATCTTCAGTGAAATTGTTTAAGGTAATATTGACTTAATATACTTATATAAATAAACATTCTGTAAAAGGTTTTTTTCCAGAAATACATGCAACTGTCTTTACTGTAGGCACCGGATTGTGTGGCTGGCTTTTCGTAAGCAATATTAATATTTTCTGGCAGAAAAATGGAGACTATGCTCAGGATTGACCTTCATACACAAAATAAAGAAACTTTGCTGAAATAATTTTTTCACAGAAATATACAGTCATTATACGAGATGCTCTACCACAACCCAGTGCCGCATCAAGGGATGTGTTTTATGCCGTGATCTTTAAAATATAACGTCTATAATAGCCCAATACAAAAGATATCTTAAACCCCATGCACTCACCATCATGACATCCTATTCCCCAGGGGTTGTCCACACAGTGTTCAGGACATGTTTTTAGAGTCTGTTGACATCTCTGTCCTTGTTTACAGAAACACCCAGCTGTTGTGTTGCACTGCCAGCCAAAGTAACCGTCACCTTCCATACAGCACAGACATAGGTATACTGACGATAGAAGAAAACAAACTAACAGTATTATATTTTTAAGTGAAAATGATTAAGATCGACATACAGGTGCATATCTNCATGTTCAACAGCAGATACACAGTATTTTAATTTTACACCCTCCGCCATCCCCTGTCACCTGCCTTGTGTTGTCTTTATATATATATATATATATATATATATATATATATATATATAATTTTTTTTTCTTTCATTTGTTGAAGCCTTTGATTTTCATTTATGCCAACCTTTGGCTCTTACAGCTGTTGTTATTTCTTATAATTTGGCCTTTTTATTTTTATTTGTGCCAACTTTTTGCTCCTTAAGCTGTTGTTATTACTTATAATTTTCTTCATTAATTTGGTTACACTTATTACACACTTTATTAATTTTATATTATGGCACTTATATAGTTGGGGAGATGTTATATTATCTCCCCAGTTTTGTAACTACGTATTTTATTTGCTTCGTCATTAATAAATGACAATTATCAATCATATGTACTTTTCTTATTTACTTTGGAGCAAAAACAGAGCTTCGTTGTGCTTGATAACATTTGGCTACATAAAATGATTTTCCTGGAGTAAACAACAATTTTCCCATACTTACCAATGGTTAATGAATCCATTTTTACATTCAAAGTTAGTCCCTGGTTTTTTCTAAAAAGTTTGGTTTTTTGTTAAAATCTCTTAAGAGATTTTAACAGAGTATAGCTATCAGTGGAGGACACGTGGTCTAAAGACAAGCTCAGATATCAGAAAAAAATAGCTATAATTGCTGTTTTTGTGGTAAAACAGAATATATTATATTTCTATGAGTTATTCACTATGTTTTTAATGGGAAATATAGATCTCATACGAAGAGTTATTATCCCTTTAACAAATGTTAATCAAAACTTACTCCATCAATCAAAATTAACAAACATTTTGTCCGTGACTTACAGCAAACTCTTCTTCCATTTTGGTCAGTCCAGTCTTGTTCCTTTGTCTCAGTTTTCGCAAACGAGCCTCAAGATCCTGTAGTCTTATGAAGGTAATGCCACAATGCAGTTCTTCCAACAATGTGTCATGTATGAAGTAATATTGCTCCTGAAACAAACAGACCGAGGTCATTTCTAATACATCAAATACCAGCCAGCGATATTTCAACAAAACATACCTTGTACCAGAAACGAAATATTGACATCGTTACAATTGTAGTATAACAGTGTGTTCTACTGTTACAATTACGGCAACTCATTGTCAAACCACGTTACACCAAATAAGGTAATACGGTACTTCACACACTGCATAACCACATGTTTCTGTATACAATTAAGTTAAAGGATACCGAGTGACAATTTTTGCCGTAGACTATAGTAAGATGAAATACCTTTGTCTGTACCATTTTCGGTCGAGATGCTCGCAATGACTGAACGAGACCGAAAACATCGACCTTTCCCTCCGCCAGCGCTTGTTCAAACAGATAGTCCAGTGCGATGAAAGTGCCAGTGTTTCCAACCCTGTCCCTAAAAACAGGAGATAATTATATATATATACTTCAGATTATAGCAATTCGTCAACCCTAGTCTCTTCGTTTGAATATACGGCACGATATCTGCTGTCATGTTTTATGAAGCGATTTTAGTGGTAAAAAAATATCCACTGATTAATGAAAGATACAAATCGTCATTAAAATATAAAAAGTCTAGTTAAATGTTGATTAATTCTTACAAAACAACGTAGTAAAATTGCCTTTCACCTGCAATGAACAACAACTGGTCCTTGGTCCTCAACTAGGATTTCATGCTTCTCAACTTCCTCTCGGAATTTAACCAAAGCTGTCGGGTCAATAGGTACGCCGTTAGTTGGCCAACCAGTGAAGTGGAACTGTTTTACACTATGGACTGTCGGATGGCCTACCTTCAGATGAAGAATAATATACCAAGGCTTAAGACATTTTGGACGTTTGTCTTCAATAAAATCAATCACCTACTAGCATATGTACATGCATACAAAAACACGTGGCAGAATAGATAAGTCAGTTGGATATATAGGTCTATGAATGTTCTACTTACTTTACAATACTGCAGATTTCTCACAAAAGAGTCCTTTCTTTGGACTTCATCTAGCGTTGTCACTTGTATTTCGCCAAACTGCTTCATTCCCTCGTCTGCCCAGTACTGCTCACATTTTTGCTGAAGTAGAAAGGGTTATTATTAGGTCTCATATTGAAATACATCACATATACAAGAATATATACAATCTACTGGTTAATGTAAGATAATACAGTTCCATTTTAACGCATCGTTTACTTTGTCTTACTTAAATATAAAAAACTTTGAGCTCTTTCAGAACAGCAGACTAAGAGTACATTAAGAACACATGATCCGCGAACTAACTGATCGGCTGACTAAATGTGGCCGACTCCACAAAAAGCGATGCCGATAATTTCCTGATGATCTCCACCCGTGCCTAAAACAGATAAAAGCTCGATTGGCTCCTAGGTTTAATTGCCCTGCAGGCAATTAGGCGGTCATATTTAGTCGGCGGATCAATTAGTCCGCGGATCAATTTGTTTTGAATGCCCTCTAAAAGATCCGCGGATCAAATATGGCCCAGCCACTTGAATGCTTGCTGTGTAATTCCCGCGAGGTATCTACTAATCGGGATTTAAGCGCCAGGCTTTTAATGGGTAGCAATATTTGATCCGCGGATCTGTTAGACCGCTGTTCTGTATGCGATCTATGGGATTGACATACCTTGTCCATTTCTACAGTTTTCGTCAACATTATAATTTGTGGAGACTTGACTTGCCATATCATCCGCCAGAAGTCGTTTACGGTGTTCGATTTTGGACCTATTAAAAAAAATCACTTCCATGCTAGTATTTTTATTAATCATAACCTATTATTACTTTTTCACATCTATTTTCCAGTGTCACAACTGAGTAATAGCGAAACATACTTGTAGACGGAACTGTATTAGGATTTATAAATATGTTGGATTTTAATATGTGTGTGTGTGTGTGTGTGTGTGTGCGGGAGAGAGAGAGTAGATGTCGCTCGAGAAAATAAAATTACCCTGTGCAGCAATGAATGCTCGTGGCCTATTATATCCCTGCAATTGGAAAATGCAATTGTCAAAGTATGACTTTTAAATGTGAAATGTAGCAAATTCTAAAATCAATGATACATATTAACGCATGACACAAATCAAACTTATATATACTGTCCCTGGTTAACACGTGGCAATAACGATACACTTTGGTCCGACAAATATACAGTACTCGGTATTATGATAGCAGCATGTAAAAAGAATGTATTACGTATGTAAATAACTCACATCAATAAAGTTTGCGTTGATGTAGTCAGAGTTGGGATCATCTGGCAAAAGGTCCAGTACAACTCGGCTATGGTCGTCTGAAGGAAAATAAACAGTTCATAAATAATGAATATGAACGGATTTAGAAATTAAACCAGTTTGATCTTTTACCATGTATATATAATGTATGGCAAAACGATGAATGGGATCAGACATACAAACCGTTATTATACGCACTAATAAATATTTAAAAAATATATTATAAAAGTATTATTTTTAGAAATTTTCAGTTTCAATGGCTTACAAGGAATGATGTTCCTGAACCTGTTCTTTAGTTTGTTTTCTCGTTTTTGGCCGACTTCACAAGGGTTTTTCAGTGTGATAGGGAATTTCTGAAATAATTGTTAAATATGTACACTGATATTATAAACATTCGTGTACAATTAATCAACTCCAGTTAACCGTCCTGCCTGCTTACCAGTATAAATATTGCGCACGTTTTATTGATCAATAAATAAAACAATTAAAGCATAGTTTTGTAAATAAAGCAGAATTAGGGCTCATTCTAAAAGAAACTATTGCTGTACGTAGATCGAGCAAATACCGCGTGGACTCATGCCGAATGCAATAGAATTTACAGATTAACACGTCTCCTCCAATATTCACAAGCACAGTTTATCAACCGTCTCACCTATGTTGACTTTAATGCCATTATTGAATCTTCTATGATTATTATATTTAGTCCTCCATCTTTTTTTCATAATATTTCCCTTTTTACTTTATCCGGCTTACCTTTCCAAAGAAATCCAAAGATAAGCTTTTTTAGCTCCTTAATTATTTGGTTAGATGAGTTAGGCAGTGAAATAAAGATGGTTAAATTTCGATATTGTGAGACTTTTAATTACTGTAATTCTGCCTACGGGGGTCAAAATTCGTCTATTAGTTTAAGTAATCGTTCAGTACTTTCAATTTTTCCCGATGATTCCTTTCACATATAGTATCTAGTTCAACAAAGAATTTAATACCTAAAAATTTAAAAGGCGTTGCACCCCATTTTAGTGTCCAATTTTGGCACAGTTTCTCATTTGATTTTTTTTACTCCCTATCCAAATAACCTGTGTTTTGTCATAATTTATTTTTAAACCCGAATTTTTTTCAATCCGTCTTAGATTCTGTAGGGAGGCGTTAAGGGACTGTTCAGAACCATCTAAAATTATGGACGTGTCATCTGCATATTGCCATATCTTGTATTCATTTTCCCCAATTTGTATTCCTTCAATTTGAGGATTATTCTTTATGCTTACTGAAAGAATTTCAGAACACAACAAAAATAACAAAAATAAATATGGTGATATCGGATCACCTTGTCTCAGGCCACGCTGTGGTTGAAACAATATGTTGATCTGATTGCATTCAGGGAGAGTTCCCGCAGAGATAGATCGATATACGTACTATAATTTAATTGGGAAAGAACCCTTACATTGGCTATATGTGGCCACGTGTTTTTACATGGTACTTTTTTGCTAAATGTATATTAAAACTGGACTGTATGTCCTAAAGAAACTTGGACAATTCATACCTGATGTTCGTCGTGAAGAATGTCTTTGGTTTTCGATTTCATGACTTCATAAATGTTCTCGACAGAAATTTCTGTGCTTTGCTTGATGCTGCTATAGAGATGTTCGTCTACCGTGTTTTCATACGGAACTTGAACCGGAGATTCATATACATGGTCATCTAGATCTGAAGATATAAATTCAAAAAGAGGACAAAATAAGATCATCTGCATGTATAATGAAAGTTGATGGGCAATATAGTAGGTGTTAATATTTACCTTCTTTTCCTTGCAATTCAGAAAAGGTTTCAACTTGATCAGGCTCTTGAGGGCGTCGCCTTCTGCAAAACAAGTCTATTTGTAGATGACTCAATATGATGTGTTGGGCCAGATTTACAACATATAATTTTACTGTATCATATCGTTATCTAAGTTTACAGTTTTTTAGAGATCCATAGTACATACATGTAAACTTTGCTCTATGTATACTAAGATTATGAAGTCTACCTCTTGTACATGAAAAAAAAGACCACAAAAATGCATAACAGCGTCTTTTTTAATTTACATTTTGTTTATTTAAGTACTAACTGTCGTAATCTACAAATATTTACCTGTTGTATACGACAACAACGACCACAACTACCGCCACCAGGACCAGAACCCCCAACACACCTCCTGCTACAGCACCACCATTTATACCTGTGACAAGGACAGGAGTGGGTAGGAAGAAAGAAAGGATTATACAGGAAGGACAACAGCATAAATGTAATAGGACACTTTCACCTTTAAATAAAACTCTAGTACTATATAGGGGGAATTTTAACTTTGAATCTTAAACTTGAAGAAGTAAATGTGTAGCATACTGCCACACAAAATTCTCAAGGGGTATATGTACAGATGTAAGTATAATACTGACTATAAAGTTTATTCTGGTTATTCGGCTGAATTGAGACGCCTTTTTCCATATTCGTTGTTGCCTGAATTGGATCACTATACTCGCCATAGCCGACAGCAGTTTTGGCACGTATCTACAAAGACAATAATGCTCAGGATGAAAAATACCAGTACATGGAGGCATGAGAAGTGGGCTTACATTGTACAGTGCTGCATCAAACTGCTTCATGACGATATTACGCCTATGGAGATTCTGTATGAAATATACTTACTCGAATCATGTACGTCGAATTGAGCTGCAAATCACCTATAAGTGTATTAGTAATGTCTGTCTCAGTCACAATTTCATTCCTCTGACTGGATTGTTGAGTGTACGATATCTCATAACTGACGATAACGCCACCTGAAGGGGACGGCGCACGCCATGTTATCTCTATGAAGGTGTCTCCAATAGATGTCACATCTGGTGCCGCCATCTTTGGTGGAACTGTAATACAAAATAATAATGTTTCACGAAAAGTTCTCATCAGTTTGTTTTCTGCAAAAGTTACTAAGCTCATACATGTATTGAAGAAATAATATAACTTCCGTGTAAAGTGATATTTCCTTTTTATTATTTTAATACATGTAGGCTTAACCAGAACTTGAGCAATTGTACACACATGCTTCTATCATGAGAACTTCTTGAAATTACTTGAAAAGCTTACTCCCTTCAGCTGTAGTATGCATCACAGTTACTGGTGGCCCTTGCAGATATAAGTTGTTAACTGCTGTCAGGTAGATGGTGTATTTACTATATGTTGTGAGGTTGGTAATAGTAATCAGCTGTGTTTCTTTGACATGCAACACGTCTACTGTGCCAATGTGATGGTATTCTCCCACATATTGCACGGTTAACTTTGCAAACCCGTCGCATCTATGGACATCTCGGTTCATTCCCTATATCCAATATATAACATGTATTTTTCCAGACACGTATATCAGGGTTTATGGCTGAAACCCAGTGCAATATACCGAACTGAGCACAAAATATTTTGGACATATATAAGTATTATATATTTAACGTGTGTGTGTGTGTGTGTGTGTGTGTGTGCGCGTGCGTGCGTGTGTTCTTTTAATATTTTTGAAACAAGGTTATGTTTCTTACATACAGGTACATATTAATCCAACCTCAATCATAATTTGTAACATCATCTATAATCATGTACCTATTATAATGTCTTTAAAAATTGTGGTTTTCCTGAGTCAATCATGCCAAAATATTCCAAGAATCGCCACAGATTATCTTAAACGCCCGTTTTCATGAAATCAGATAGTGACATCCAAATACAATGCGACTTATTCTCAATCTAATAAAGAAGGCATGGCGCCGTAAATAGTTAGTAATATACAAACCGCTGTATTTAGCTCTATGTAAGCAGATCTCTTTGATGAGGCAAGAACAGAATGGACGTTTGGTTTGGGTGGTGCCGTAGGTTCTGAAAATAAAATGGTAATTGCTTAAACACCTTAAATACTGGATTTCCTTTAAATATTACAATGGATTGTTGAAGTTGGTTTAAAGTGTGACCCAAATAGTCGCAAAATAAAGTAAATCACTATAAAATCTATACACCTTACCTCCACATGTTCTTTCGGTGGTTGCTGGACTAGAAATACCATAATACCCTGCATCATTAGCAATGGTTACGGTGATATTATACTCTGTGTACATTGATAGATTATTCACTGTAGCTGTGTGTTGTTCCTTCGGTACTGTTACACTGCCGTGTAGATATATCCACCGCCAAACTCTAACGACGTATCTGTGAACACTACCAACTCCAAAACCGGTCTGGGACGACCACTTTTGCCAACTTATGGTGAGTGAATCTTGAGTCCTTGATGACATATTCGGTGCTGTGGTGAGATGTGGGAATGATGACCCCGCACGAAAACGCAGTAGATGCTCCAGCGCAGTAGACTACTGCAATCATACTGCAAATATACTTCAAATCT